GGGGAAAAAAAAAAAAGAACAAAGCATTCATCACATGGTAAATGATCAATAATATATATTAATATATAGTTTATAGGATTCTAAACTACCCTAATAATAAATCATAACACACAGATAGTGCATTATTTTAATCTATTAATGTAGCCACAGAAGAGCAATTTAGAATTAGCTCCCAAAATTTAAAAAACTGTATATTTTAGTTTCTTAAATTTGAGTATTCTCCACAAAACTTCTACATGGAAATACACACTTAAAATTTAAATTTTCCCATTCTACTTTTGTCACTATTTGGGAGGCCCCTGCCACTATTTTGTAAATCTTGTGGGATGCCCTAGGTAGGAAGTCCTATGACACCTGCCAGGGAGTGTGAGGAGAAGCTTAGCAGAGGAGAAGAGAGGTCGTGGTTTACACAGAGTCTGTCTTGGGCAACCTCAGAGAGACTCAGGATGGGCAGGTTCCAAACAGCCCTCTTCTAGAGGAACTCAGACTCCAAAAGATGTGGAGTATTTTGGGGAAATGTGTGTTTGTAGACAATTACTAGAGAATTCTTATTTGTATAAAATCCATTCTTGCAGTTACATAGGCCATGGATTCCATAAGCCTCTGCACTGGAGGGGAAGTTTCCATCGGGCAGGGGTCTCTACAAGGCTGGCTTACCAATGGAGGTCAACGTCAAAATGTTTACACTGACACCTCATGAGTGCTCCTTCTAGATTTTAGACATTTATTTGTTCTCAGGTAACTAGAAATTTATTTTGGCTGTTACCACTCTTGATTAAAGTGAGAAGGAGGACAATGTGTTGGAAAAGGACCTGGCTCCTAGCTGTGTGACCTTCATTAAAGTCGCCATCACTTCTCTGGGGATCCTAAAAGGATGAGGCACTTTCACTTGGTACAACAGTTTTTGCTTTCATTTTGGAGGGTCTGCTCTGCCCTTTTTCTGCTCCAGCTGCCCTGATTTTAATTACTACCTTCACTTCTTTGTGCTGGGTGGAAAGACAACCTGAGGGCATTCAGAAAAAATTCCATACCTTGAGCTCTGCAGCCAGTGAGAACTTAATGAGCCAGGGAGAGAGGAAACTCTCCCCACTCTAAAAGGAAAACTAAAAATAGGTTGCATTGATTTTTTTTTTAATTAATCAAATCTTTTACTTATCAAGGAAGTAAAGTAACTTAAAAGGAAGGCAGCAGCACTGAAGAGCGTGGGATTTGATATCACAAACTAGAAGTTTAAATCCTGGTCCTACCATTCACTTGGCTGAAACAAGTAATTTAACTTCCCTGAGCTTCAATTTCCACATTTGTAAAATGTGGGAAATAGAAATGCCTGTTTCTCAGGATTGTTATGAAAATTACATATTAAATATGAGAATATATTAAATATGGCAAAATGGTGATTAAATATGGTAATATATGCAAAACAGCATACATACAAAAATCCCAGCACAGAGAGCTGATGATAATATAGATGTGGCTACCATGGATGTACTTACATGACATCTGTGCACATTTGGGAGAACCATGGTGATGATCTTTGCACAGCCATTTCTGTCCTACCATTCAGCTTATCACACTTTAATTATTTGCTTAATGTCTGGCCCACCAGATTGTGAGATTTGTGAGAACAAGGCTGTATCCCTTGTCCACCCTGAACACATGATTAGCACAGTACCTGGCCTGTCATTTCTGTGGGGCTGACTAGGGAAGCCACAACAGCTCCCTGTGAATGGCAAATCCCTCAAAACAGGGGTTTGGGTGGAAGGAAGGCAAAAATAGGAGATGAAAATCAGAAGTGGTTATCAACTGATTTTGATTCTTGCTCCCTTTCCTTAGGTGCATTGGGAGGTTCACAAGGCTAGGCCATGAGCTGCAGGATGAAAGGTGTCAAATCTAGCCCACTGAGCATGCTCTAGCCCAAGCCTCTTAACAGCAGCAGCCCAGACTCTCACTCAGTGGGTGGAGGAGAGTGACACCAACCAATAGTAAAGAGCACATTTTAATGCCTTAGATCTTTGTGGTTTACTTTTTTGGGGAATTCTGAGCGTTAATTTGAGTTTTAATTTCTGATAGTAAATTTGTTCCCCATTACTGGTTTACTAAAGACACATTCACTGGCACGAATATAGTGAAGTCAAGTTCTATGGATTGAGAGGCTCCAGAATCAATGTTTTCATCTAAAAACTAAGTTTTCTCCTTACCCTGATGATCATGGTTCTGTCTAGTGTCTAGTAGATTTGTCACCTTGCGGAATAAGGAAGAAACCCTGGTGATTATAACAAAGAGGTCCCACTGGGAGTGGGAAAGCTGGCCTGGGGCCAAGAGGAACTGTCAACCAAAGACCTGCAACAGATAATCCACAATTTGGATGATCTTCCCCAGGTGTTGAAATCAGCTTCTTACCCAAAGTGAAGAAAGACTTCCTGGCAGAGGCAGAGGAGGGGAAGGAGACGTGCCTTGGGAGCACAAGGGAGTGGATGTTCCATTGTTCTCTCCCCTAGTCCTGCCTTTCGGGAATGCAAGTCAGTGTATGCCACAGGACACACCTGAGAGGTGTGAATTGACCTGTTTTTGAACAGGATGAAGAAAGCATCCCTGAAAGAACCAGTCACAAAAGCTTTCACATCTGAATTGTTAAAAACCATAGGGACTCCAAAATCAGCTCTGAATAGTTACTACTTAGTGTTTGACTGAAGAGGAAATCAAATGGAAATAATATTTTCCTTGAAACAGAGCCTGTATGAAAAACAAAATATATAAAAAAGGAATAAGGAAGCAGTTATGCATCAAACTTGTGATTCCCAAATTCCTTCAGAAAGCTTCAAGGACTGAATTAAAGAGCACAGTCCTGTGATTCCTAACAACACTGTGTTGGCATCTGCAGTACACCTTTCAATGAATTCATAGTGCTGAGCTGTGGCTTATGATTTCTGTCCCCTCAGTCCTCATCTGACCACTTTGAATAACTAGACTCATCCCTAGTCACCCTTGGTACCTATTTTGATAAAGCTCAGTATTTTAGGAAAACTTCAAGACTTTTCTCAGGGTATATTACACTAACAGTGATGCTAAGGCATAGTTTGAGAAGATAGCCTAGGCTCCCTGGAGAAAAATAGACAGCAAGATAACACTGTGAAGTAGCTGCCCTACAGTGATGTCCACCATGTAGGACTTTTCTACCATCCTTGTTCTTATAGCCGTGCAGTCAGATAACGAGGCTGGGCAGATCTGAAGCAGGCTCGCTTCAGATCTTGTTGAATGCATCTCAGGTTGTGGCTTGGCTCTGCGTCTTACATGGGTCATCTCATTAAAACAGCACAAAAGCAGGGCTGACTGTGTAAACCAGGGCATCCTTTTTAAATGTATAACATGATAGTTAATGAGAGTGTTTTTTCTAAAACTCCCAATTTTACACTTCTGATCTGGCCTACTCTTTTCTTCTCTAGCTGCATATTCCAGTCCTCAGTCTTCTTTTGTGTGTGTGTGTGTGTGTGTGTGTGTGCCTGCTTGCACATACCGTTCACTTACACTAATCTGCTATCTTTGCTGTTGCCACCGGTGGGGAATCCTTGAAGTTTCTGAGCTCCAAGGGAATAATCAGAGCTCCTGAGCCAGATGAGGCTCTAACCAGTAGATGTGCTGTCCCAACTGTCACCTGGCTTCCCAAGAAAGGCAACGTAAGCGCGACAAAGAAGGGACCACAGGACCACATTTGTGGTGCATATACCCCTTCCTGAGTGAAAACCCACACGTGCACCACAAAGCCCTGACCCTTTCCTGTTCTCCTGACCAGTGGTCAGGTATACACCAACTCTGCTGTCCCCAGACCACACCAAAAACCCTGCCCATATTGGACAGGAGATAAGTGACATACAAGTAGGAAGGGACAGCAGGCTCAGGACAGCCACAGGTAGCACAGTGTGGCCTCAATTCTGAAGCCCAGCCCTGGCCTGTATCTGACCCGGGAGGGGCTGACCTTGGGCCCCATGTAACCCTCACCTTATCTCCACTGAGGATTCTGCGTGATCAAAACAGATTCCCACTCCTGCTTTCTTTTATACTGAAAAGCCTGATGAGGTTTGGTTTGGTTTTGCCTTGCAGTGGAGGTCTGTGGCCCCAAAATAAGAGATGCTCTTAGTAAGAAAACAAACAAACCAAAACCAAACAACCCAAAAAGATCAGAGACCTATTCTATAGGAAAAGGACAGGCGAACAGGAGAAAACACTCAGCCCTCTTCTCAGTCTTTCTTTGTTTCTTTGGGTGACTGTTCCTTCCCTGAAAGCATTTCCTCTAGCCCTCTAGCCCACTCTACAAGTGGCTTTTAAATTTTGTTTTCAGTAAGCATTATTTGCACCTTTGCACAGTGACTTCCTCAAGGGAGGGTCTCTCAAGCTATCTTAGCATCAGTTCAGGTCATTTGCAGAGTACTGTGGCTCACCAGGAGATGCTTGGTTGTACCTTATCATTCACTGCTGTTGGATGCCAGTGTCCTTATCAGGCTCCGGTGATAACTAAGACCATGCCATTTTTATCCTGACCCTTTATGGACACCTTGCACCATGATTTTTTTGTTAATAGCAAACGCTTGATAAAGATTTACTAAATTGACCTGAAATGACAGCAAACATGGCCTTCCCTTTTCTAACCACAATATGCCTACATAATTTGCCCTGTGGAGCAGAATAAACGGATGGAGAGTTTGGTGAGGTGAAGACAAGAACTCAGAAGAAAGGTGCTGGATGAGTCAGGAGACCCAGGCTTTGACCTCCCCACCCTGGACACCCTCACTTCCTTTCAGGATGTTGGGGAGGTACCAAAAAGTCATTGCTATAAAAACATTTGAGTTTAAAGCATTCTACAGACACAAAAGTGTTACTGTTTCCTCTACAGGTTCCAACGCAGGAAAGTACAAGGAACATTTAGTGAATGTTGGCTAGCAGTGTTAAGTACTGTTTGCCCCCCAATAAGTATGTTGTAATCCTTGTGTAATGCTTTCTCACAGGTATGAATTAGGAGCTGCTCTATTTATTGGATGGGCAGGAGCCTCACTCTGCATAATTGGTGGTATCATATTTTGCTTTTCAATATCTGACAACAGCAAAACACCCAGGTATGAAACAGAGACAACCTGTTAAAAAATACTATACTATTCTAACTCATTACATGTGAGACAAATTGCATATAGTTCATGTGATTCTCAGAAACTTCGAAGACCCAGAGTTAGAAAAGGTAAAAATATAGTTAGTTTCTGTTTTAAAAAAGAGCTCATCAGGGGCTGGGGTTGTGGCTCAGCGGTAGAGCTCTCGCCTAGCATATGCAAGGCCCTGGGTTCGATCCTCAGCACCACATAAAAATAAATCAATAAAGATATTGAGTCCAACTACAACTAAAAAATTAAAAAAAAAAAAAAAAACAACAAACTCATCAGAGCTGGGGTTGTGGCTTAATGGCAGAGCGCTTGCCTCACACATGTGAGGCACTGGGTTCAATTCTCGGCACTATATAAATATAAATAAAATATAAAGATATTGTGTCCTTATATAAATAAAAACAAAATTAAAACAAAGAGTTCATCATTGTTATATTCCAATGCTATATCGGGAATAAGATCCTAAATACAAGGGCATGATCTTCATATCAGCCTCCTCAAAAGTTTTTATATAGGCAGGAATTGTTGAAGACTTCACTATGAAGTCTCCCAGGTTCCAGACAAGTTTTTTTTTTTTTTTTAAAATAACCGGTATTTATCCTGAAGAATTAAAGTGCTCATATTACAGTGATACATGCATAACCCTGTGTACAGCAGCACAATTCATAATAGCCAAACTATGACACCAGCCTGCGTGTCCATCAGTGAGTGTATGAATAAATAAAATATGGCGTATATACACAATGGAGTTTTATTCAGCCATAAAGAAAAATGAAATTATATCATTTGCAGGAAAATGGATGAAACTTGAGACTATCATGTTAAGTGAAATAAGTCAAACTCAGAAGGTCAAGAGTCATGTTTTCTCTCATATGCAGAAACTAGAGAGGAAAAAGGAAAAGAAAGATGGTCGTACAATCTCATGAAAATCAAAAGGGATCAGGGAGTGGGAGTGGGGGGGTGGGGAGTGCTGTGGAGAGATATTGACCAAATTATATTCTTACACTGTGTACATGTACAAATATGCAACAACAGAGCTCATGATTATGTACAACTATAGTGCACCAATAAAAATTACAGGAAAAATTAAACTACTAAGATGGATTTAAAATATATAAATAAAATAAATGTAAATAAAATATATAAATAAAATAAAAACATGTGATTTTCCTAAAAATATTTAATCTAATAGGAAATGGGAACTAGACTAAAAACTAATTAAAAAAAAAAACAATATCCAAACAGATGAATAAGTCATGAGCTTCTTTTGCAGAGATTCTTTGTCCTGCACGCTACTTAGAAACCACAGTGAACTAAAAAAAAAAAAGGTAACTTCAGTGAACTATTCCAAGGCCAGAGGAGGGAAGAAGGCTAACAAGAAAGAGGAAGCCTTAAACTTACTGGAAACAGTTTCATCCGATTTTTGTTTGCCCTACGTGTAAGAACACACTCTACAGACCTGTGTTTTGCCTTTCAGAATGGGATATACATACAATGGGGCCACATCTGTCATGTCTTCTCGGACAAAGTATCACGGAGGAGAAGGAGATTTTAAAACCACAAACCCTTCAAAACAGTTTGATAAAAATGCTTACGTCTGAAAGAGCCCTGCTGGCAAGCTGTACCTTGAGTTTGTTATAAAGTGGACTGTTCACAAAATGATCCTGAATTTGAAGAATTTGTTGATTGTGTGGATGTAAATGTTCTTGCATAGTTATATACTAATCATTTCTGTTGTGGCTTTCTAAAAAAAATAAAAAGGTTATTTACAGGATTTGTACATTTTATACCTTTAGAGAACATGAAAAGCATTTAATACCAAAGATGCAAGTAGTATTTGTCATATAGCTTTTTCAGGCATTCAATAAGTTCTGACCCCATTCCTTATTTCATTCATATAACTAAACAGAAGGCATTCAAGGAATGGTTTCTTGTAAACAGTATGGGGACAATCTGAGGCAGCTCCTTAAAAGGAATCCAAGTTATATAGGCATGTTATGGGTTGCTGCATAGAGTCAACTTCTTCTTTCTGACACCCATCTGTCACTACTGTCATTCATTATGATGGCTTAAGGAAGGGTTAATGAGGCCAGGGTGCCACTGCCCTTTATGTGGCACATCCATAATAAGCAACTACTTAGGCTTCTCTGACCCAGAAAGCAGGGCATCAGCATGAGCTGAGCTAGTGACACTGTTTGTGGTTGACTCTGGAGCCAGTAAGGAAGTCCCAGGTCCCCAGTGGTACCTGTCTCACTTAGAACTGGTGCGCTGAGCTTCCCTGTGTCTCCAGGTGCTGTTTATGGTACAAGCAGGGTAATTGAGAGACTCACCATTTTTTGTGACATGTAAGGTGCTCCAGTGATTTCTGAACAGACTTATTCCTAGGTCCAGCCCTATCCAGAACATGCCCATGATGCCCTGGTTATCACAATCAACTCACAACTCACACATCCTAAACCAGTCACCCTTACAGCCACCCTTACAGACATGTATTTCCATTATCCTGCATTTACAGGAAAGAGAATTAAAGCAGAGTTTAACTTGCCATGATGACAGAACCAGGGCTTTGAACTAGGACATTCTAGGGTAAAATATACACTTTCAAGCTGTGGATAAGAACTGATAACTTATTATATTTCTGAGAAACTGTACAATATGAATCCTAACAGTAGTTGAATGAACATATTTTCCTGACATATGAAAGTCTTGAAAATCAAGTGTTTGGAAGTGCTCAATGGAAAGAAAAGCAAGTGACAGTTTGTTAATAAAAATAAAAAATTCCATACCATGTGAGTACTTAATTATTTTTTTCCAGAGATACTAATTAACTGAAAGACATAAAGGCAATAAATTAGATGTTTCAGGCCAGTGTGCGGACAGGGCTGTGTGGGTGTGCACTTAAAACACATGTTTTTTAATGGAAATTTGAGCTGGTAAAGATAATGTTTAGATAGTACTGAAGAATTTAGGGAGGGCAGGGGACAGAGAAGTCCTCTTAGTAACCAGAAGTGCGTTAGCTGGGCACCAGCGAATGACACTACAAGGTAACAGGTTCAAGGAAAAAGGAACAGGACAAATTTGGTAAAAGAAAATGATACAACTAAATAGATGAGTTAAAGGATTGGCTTTTATGACACAAACACATGGTAAATGTTGGGTTTACTTGGGAAAAGTCTGTTTCGCTGCTCTGGCAGACAATTTGGAGCAGAGGATTGGTTTAAAGAGGCTCTTGTCATATGGTCTTTGGCAGGTACCTGCTTCTCACATCTTTAGGATGAGGACGATGACAATGGTCTCATCTCTAGAGTTCTTCTAAAGAACATTCTGATGCATGTTAAAACCAAAACCCAGTATCTCAATAAATACCTGCTGAAGCAATGACTGGGTGACCAGGGGACCCAGGGACTAGCTCAGGCACAATATTTTTGCAAGCTGCTTATTTCTGTTCTACTGCATGAAAATATGATTCCTATTTCATGACAGCTTTTAGAAACATCCATGAAAAGTCAGTATATTTGCATAAAATGCTCCCTATAGGAAGTTGCAGGAATTTGTTACAGGTTTGAAATGGGTACAAGTTTTTTTACTTTCCCTGGGGAAGGAAGAAATGTTTTTCAAAGGTTAGGATGTTATGTGGCATAGCTATCAGGGCAAGCTTCTCCCTTAGTAAGTCCCTCTCAAAAGATAAATTTAAGTCTGGAATTGTTTTTAAGAATCAGTCGCAGTCACCACAGTCACAATGGTGTGCAAAGGGCTTTACTGGAAAGATAGACAAAAAGATCCAAAACCCAACAAATGATTCAAGTTAAAATGTTACTTTTGGGGGGTAAACAAAGTACAGACAGTACCATGAGCATAAAAAAATGCAAAAAAGTCTGAACCTTGACAATGTCATTGTTCAAGAATATAACAATCAGTTTTGAGGTATTTTATAATATGGGTTGGCTATTAAAAAAAAACTAAAAAGGCAAACAAAAAACTACATACAACTATGATTCAGCTATGACAAAATCTTTCCATATTCTGATAAATTAACTGGTGTTTAAAATAGCTACATTTCATTTGTAAAATATCCAAGATAAAGATTATCTGCAGAAAATAACTGGTAGCAACATGCTTACAGTGGCTCAAGGCAGAATATGATCCAAGTAATTTAGGAAAATGTATTTAACATGGGCCTGGCTATGTTTTTCTAAACTTCTATATGAAAAATAACCCATCTAACTCAATATTTTGTAGATTCTACTAATTCAATTTTAAAGATACTAAGAGAAGTTTATAATATAAACACTTTCAATGTGACAATAAACCTAAAATATATTAAAACGCGGTAATAATTCAAACCAAAACCTGTGAGAAGCTGAAAAATTTTCTCTTAAAAATTAGTTGAAAAAAATACACTTAACACTAGAGTACCATTCTAAAGAAAACACTTTATGACTTCAGTGACATATTATTCTTAAGAAGTCAAACACCTTTATATGCTTCCGAATACTGTGGACAATTTGTTTCTCAATACTGTACCAAGTGCCATTAAAGAGAACCTCATCCTCTGAACTGGCTTCCTAGTTATCGTGGGAAACGCTGTAAGGCAGGAGCTTGAGAATCCCGTAGCCATTGCTGAACTCCTGTTGGCTTCTGTAGTTAAGTATCTGCAGGGTCACTCCAGTCAGTCACAGTTACTCAGCTGCTTTTTAATGTGCTCCATTCGTGAAGGGTCACCCCAGTCAGCCATAGTTATGAAGCTGCTTTTCAGTGTGCTCAATTCGTTTTCCTGACGAACTGTGGGAAGAGAAAAGGAGGTGCCCGTGGTTAATCAGGCACACTGGTAAGCCTGAGAAAGTCCGTAATTTCACACTGTCATTTATCACCCAGTGTCTGAATATGATCAGGAACCCCTGCCCCTGGCTTCCATGAGCTATGCAGAGGCTCCTACAAAATCCAGCCACACAAAGGAACTGAACAGACACTTTACAGAAAAAGAAATATGACTGGTCAACAAATACAGGAAAAAATGTTCCAACATCTCTAGCAATTAAAGAAATGCAAATTAAAACTACACTGAGATTTTTTATCTCACTCCAGTCAGATGGCAATTATCAATAATACAAATAATGGTAAATGTTGGTGAAATGTGGGGGAAAAGGTACACTCGTGCATTGCTGGTGGGACTGCAAAACAGTGCGACCAATCTGGAAAGCAGTATGGAGATTCCTCAGAAAACCTGGAATGGAACCACCATTTCACCCAGTTTTCCCAAAGGATTTAAAATCAGCATATTGTAGTGATTTGTCCCATCAATACTTTAAGCAGTTAAATCTACAATAGCTAAGCTTTAAGTACAAAAGTGGAATCTACAGTACCAATTAAAAATTATATGCCAGGGTACAAAAATAGTGAGGGGAACATGAGAGGTATAATGGACGGCAAAAATGAGCCAGATCCTCTACTGTCTAAAATAATATAAATCACCATTTTCTAATTAAAAAAACTTAATCTACTGAGAGTTAAGTTACTGAACTTATCCAGGCTCTAGCCCAGGTGGCCAGGAAGCATTTCTAACTATTTCATTTGTAGTTCATCCCACTGACTATAACACTACAGGAAAAACCTTCTTGAAAGAAAATTTAAAAAATATTTAATAGGAAGCAGGAGTATAGGAAGACTGCCAGAAAAATGGTCTCATTCAAGAGTATGATCAGAAAATTTAATTCTATCTTCATGAAGAGAATATTTGTATAGACATTTACAATCTAAAAATTTTTTAAAGTAAAATATGAAATAAAAATGATTACTAAGTATATACAAATCAATAAGTTATACACAGTCCTTATTCAAATGACATAAAGCATCAAGGTCTTGGTTATGTTAACAGTGTTTTTGTCTGATGACATATCAGCATAACTGAAATAGATACTTATAAAGATGAAGCTTCAGAAAAAGGACTGAGGAAGAAAGCAGCAAACCTTCTGTTTTGGATCCCCTAGGTTTAGAAGCAACCCAGGCACTTGGCACTTGAGTAGAACTCGATTCATTCTTCAATGGTGGAGGTTCCTTCCATTCTTTCACAGTTTTCTTCCCCAAGGAATTTTCTTCTTCTAAGGATGATATGTCCCAGTCATCGTCGTCCACATCTGCGCACTAAAATATGTGGAGACAATTCATGTTTCTTCAAGAAACAGCTGGTGCCCCTGAATCATTTAGCAACTTAGACTGAGCAGCTGACACTGAATAAGAGAGGTCGGGAATGACAGGTTCCAAATCTGGGATTTCTGTAGGGCAGTGAACTGAATTTGGAAGTGTGCGTTTTGAAAGCTAAGGGAATCATCTTTCTTGTTTCATGCCACGGAAATACATTTTTCTTCTCTATAAATCAAGAATTTGGAAAATTCTAGAAACCACAGTGGGGGCAAAAAATTCTAAAGGCCAGGGTGGCACATATCACACAGAGCCTGCAGGGACGGCTACTCCCTGAAAGGAGCATGTTTGTAGTTTGCCCTTTCCAAAAGAGGGCAGGCACATTAGCTCTCTTGATGACATATGGCTTTTTGTCACTTTCAGCTTGTGAAACACAAACTAATAAAGTAGTCTGACAGAATGCTCTGGATTCCATGGAAGAACAAGAAGAAGGAATTAAATCTAATTTTAGTGAAAAATTTAAAAAAGAATGACTACTATTGGAAGACCCAGGTAACACAGACAGGCTTTCCAGAAATATAACAGGAGAGCTGCAGTCAGACTCTCTGGCATCCAGGCTGTTAGAACTGGAAACATTCTTCTCTGATGCAGCAGAGGAGCTTGGGCCTACCCTTGACTCAAGATTCACATACATCTTTGAAGCATCTCTCTACTGACTCCAGCTCCACAAAGGACTAATCCCTGAAAAGTCCCTATTTTATGTCCTCCCCATTTTATCCCTGTCACACAAAGGTATGAGAAAAGTCCCTAGACTTGGATATGGAGGCCCCAAAGTCTAGCCATTCACATTTCTTTGTCCAAGTCATGTAATATCTGCAAGCATCAAACATGACAGAATTTTGATATTTTGATGAACATATGATGCATTATTACACGTTGGATATCCCCTAGCCAAACTGCTTACACCAGAATGTTTCAGATTCTATAGGTTTTCAGATTTTGAAATATTTGCATAGACTTTACCAGGTGTGAACATCCCTAACAATCTAAATCCAAAACAGAAATCCAAAACAATCTAAAATCTGAAACTTTTTTGGCGGGGGATACTGGAGATTGAACATTGAGCATGCTAAGCACAGGCTTCACTGCTGAGCTACATCCCCAGCCCAAGTCGGAAACTTTTTGAGTGTCAAGTTCAAAAAGTTTAATACTTTGAGCCAAATGTGGTGGCTCCCTATAATCCCAGCAATTTGGGATACTAAAGCAAGAAGATCTCAAGTTTGAGGCCACCCTCAGCAACTTGGCGAGGCCCTAAGCAACTTAGCAAGACCCTGTCTCCAAAGAAATAAAAAGGGTTGGGGATGTGGCTCAGTGGTAAAGGGCCCCTGGGTTCAATCCCTAGAATAATAATAATAAAATAATAATAATTCAAAACATTTCAGATTTTGGATTTTAGATTATCACTCCAATATCTTTGATTCTTTTTTTTTTTTAAAGAGAATTTTTTAAGGGGCTGGGGTTGTGGCCCAGTGGTAGAGTGCTCGCCTAGAATGCATGAGGCACTGGGTTCGATTCTCAGCACCACATAAATGTAAAAATAAAAATATTGTGTCCACCTAAAACTAAAAAAGAAATATTTTAAAAAAAAATAAAGAGAATTTTTTAATATTTATTTTTTAGTTTTCGGCAGACACAACATCTTTCTTTGTATGTGGTGCTGAGGATCAAATTTGGGCAGCATGCATGCTGGGCGAGCGCGCTACCGCTTGAGCCACATCCCCAGCCCTAATATCTTTGATTCTCAAATGCAAAACTGAGGTGAAAAATCTTAATCTCTACTATATTAATAATTATATTTTATCGAGATAAATTAATGTATGTTTAGTAAGTAAAAGTGACTTTACCTTTAGTTCTTCTTGTAATCCTTCTTTTGCAATAAATGCCTCAGCCACATTAATCCCACCAACTGGCTTATTCACATTTTTTTGCTGTGAAACCATCTTTTCAACTTTTTCAGTCAGTGTTTTAATGGCGGTTACTATGGGAACAACAGAAATTAGTCAGACAGGTCGTTAAAAATTGTATCTATCTCCAGTTTCAAAATAACCTTACAAGCACTTTAGAAAGAGTCTAAGCTCTGTACATTATTACATATTATTAAAATAAAATTAGCTGATATATTTTGGGATTAAAAAGTAAAGAAAAATACTTTAAAAAAGTCATGATCCTCCAGGCAAGAAGCTACAAAAGTTTTTATTTTAATCAAGGACCAACTCATGTAATAATTATATGGTCAGAAACATTAATTCAGTGAGGTAATCTGTGTGAATGGAGTATTTAAATGGTACCTTCCAAAACAATATGAGTTACTTTCAAATGCACCGGTTATAGTTTACATAACTATAAGGACATACAAATAATAATAGCAATATATTTAAAATATATAGTTCCTAAGTTACATTAAACAGAATTATTTCTCTTTAGCATGTTATCAGCAGACACAGACTGGGACCTTGTCTTTCTTTAAAATCATCCCATCTCCAAAAGGCAGTGCAGTGTATTAGAACAGTATTAACAGGTTGAATTCTGTCCCCTCAAACTCATATGTTGAAGTCCTCACCCCTAGTACCTTAGAATGTGTGACTTTATTTAGAGGCAAGGTAATTAAATGATGGAGGTTGCTAAGAGTAGGCCCTAGTCTTTGTGACCACTGTCCTTATAAAAGTGGGAAATTGGGACAGAGAGGCACGCATGAGTGACGATGATGTGAGGACACAGGGAGAAAGTGGTCTTCTACAAGCCAAGGACAGAGGCCTAGAACAGATCCTTACCTCATAAGGAGCTGAACTTGCCAATACCTTGATTATGGTTTGCAGCCTGCAGAATTGGTGACACAGGACATTTCTGTAGTCTAAGTTGCCTAGTTGTGGTACTTTGTTATAGGAGCACTGGGAAACCAATATAGCCAGGTACCCCCAATTCCTGCCTCTCTTTCAACTAGAAGATAGCTTGGCCAATAAGTGCGTCCACCTTCCTTAGGCAGCACCTCTAGACAAGACCCAGCCTTGCCTAGTGAACTTTCCCAGTTCATACTCCCTGCATTCGGTGCCCCCAGCTGGGAACCACTGTCCTAAATAATTTCCAGAAGGTTCTCTGGTGATAAAAGCTCACCTGTGGGCTTGGGAGAAATGTCAGAGTCCTCCATTTCGCTTCCCTCAGTCCAGTCAGTGTCACTTTTGAGGCTGCTCTTTCCATAGCTAGTCTTGTTGCTTTTAGAGGACTGCACGGGAAGTAAGTCTGGGGACATGTATGCCTGGATGAGGTCATCCTCATCCAGCTCTTCCTCTGAACTGAAGGGAGGTGTCCTACACAAAGCGAAACCAAAGGACTTACAAACCATGAGCCTTTTAAAGTGGTAGGAACCTTCTCAGAAAACTCCCAGAGACAACAAACTAACCCCGCATGGCCACAGACAAGACTGTGGTGAGGCCCAGGAGCCTGTGGGGGTCACTCCAGATCCAGACCTGCCAATCATGTGCCACAGTTGTCAGTATGGACTGAAGTTACAGCCTTTTTCCTCTAAACCCAAGTGTGCATTCTTAACAGTCTTAGTTTTTACATGCCTAAGAAAAACATTTCTCAGCAAAGGAAAATCATTTCCCACAAGAAAACTCTAAAAAATTATTGTTTTTTACACATACAGTCTCATTTATATTATCACCTGAAATATCCCAGTTTTAAAGTGAAATAGAAGTTCTGAGTAGTGTTTGTTCATTTAAAGAAAGAATATCTATAGAGTACCTAAATTCCAGATAACACATCGGTCTTGTAAAGGTTGTTTCAGTCATGAAAAAAACCTCATCCCATGGAATTACATTCATGAAAAACACTTTGGAAAGATGAATCATTATTTTCTCTATTGTATAATTCCTCATTTATGACAACGGTAGGTATCTCCAGAATAAGGCAATAGTGATGAAATTCAATTACAATAAAATTAGTCTAATTCAAAGTAATATAACCTACAATTTATTGAGTACCCTCCAGGGCCAAGTGCTGAGCCATGCTCTTTTTATTTATTTTCATTATTTATTTCTGTGGTACTGGGGCTTGAACCCAGGGCTTTGTGGATGTTAGTCTAGTGCTCTACATTGAGTGGTACCTGTAGCCCTTTTTATTTTTATTTTGAGACACAGTCTCACTAAGTTGTTCAGGCTGGCCTCAAACTTAATACCCTCCTGCCTGGGCCTCCTGAGTAGCTGGGATTGCAGGTGTGCAGTGTATCCAGCCCCAATTTTATTTTGTAAAATTATCCTGTGAAAAAGACAGCATTATGCCATGTTACATAACTTTTTTTTTTTAAGAAAACTGAGGCTTAAAACAGTAGTCAACTGAATCCATGGCACACAATTGTTAGGTGATAAAGCAAGGATTCCTAGTATCCTTACAGAACTAAATAAGATATGGGTCATAGTCAAGACCCCAAGGAGCTAGAACAGGAAAATAATGTGTGAAACTTATACTGTAATGGATCTGGCCATTAAAACCCAATACTATCCATTAGATTTAAATATACTTGTCAAGAAATTAGTCCACACTAGCTGGGGGAAGGGGGAATACATGAGAATGACAGGTGTGGCCCCTCATCACGGAGACCATGATGTGATAAGTTCTGTTCACACAGATAATAACCGATAAAGATATGCCACAAACATATATATATATATATACACAAAGGAATCACAAATGAACAACGATGCTTAACCAACTCTAAGATAGTAATTTACGATGAAAGGAATGTCCAGTAAAGAGAGTTGTTAAAATGCCCCACACCGGCCCCCGTACTCACGTAACAGACAATGACTTTCTGGGAACAGGATCTTCTATGACATTTTTCTTAATTCTAAAAAAAAAAAAAAAAAAAACCAGCAGAAAAATATTTATAAAGTGTGTGAGTGAATACTACATTATCAACAAATTTCTATGGAATTGGTGATTTGTTGTGTTTTACTTATGTCAACAAAGGAGAGCAACTATTGCAGATGTGATTCACTGTTAGGGACTCAACATTTGTACCCACCAAATTCACGTGTGAACACCTGATCCTCAGTGTGGTGGTATCTGGAGGTAGGAACTTTGGGGTAACTAGGCTTAAATGAGGTGGTAGAGGGGAGCCCCATGATAGACTTACTGCCCTGATTAAAAGAGGGATATCAGAAGTTGCTCTCCACCACATACGAACACAGAGAGAAGGCAGCACTCTGCAGGGCTTGCACACAGCCCTTGATCAAACATGACCATGCTGACACTCCTCAGCCAGAAGTCGGAGAAAGTAAGTTTCTGTTGTTTAAGCCACCCAATCTATGGCATACTATTATGGCAGCCCCAGATGCCTAAGGCAAATAATTAAAAAAATATATATATATATGGGTTGAAAATACTCACTTTGGAACAGGAGCAGTTCTATCAGTATAAACAGGTCTTTGTCTAACCAATATTCTGTTTTTGGAAGGAAGCTGGACTGCTTTGGGTACTTCTCCAGTTGAAAGGGTTTCCATTTGAGAAATACTGGGCTTATCTGGAAGAGAAGTATCATTTATGAGTCTCTGTGGCCTTTATAATCAGTAAGTGAAAAGCAAAATTTCATGGTGCAACACTGTGGTACCGTGGGAAGAAACAAGCCTGTCTCTGGGGTCTGCGTCCAGACTCCAGGGCTTATTTTTTAAATGTGAAAGACAGAGCACTCAACAGTACAAATAGTAAGAGAGTTGCCTGTAAAGTACCAGCATTTGTAAACCATTTAGAATTGTGGAAGATGGTTAAAGTAAGCTCCCATATATGGCCTTGAAAAGGCATTTGGTAACAGGCTCACCTGTAAAGAGTAATCCTCTCTCCTCAATTTTACAGCTGACCTGATGTTCAAGGAATTCTCGAATTTCCTGAATGTTGGGCATTTGTCTTTCTCTCTCATGTCTTGCTGAATGCACGGTTTTCAGCACTCTATTCAAGTGCTCACTCGGAATACCGCGGATATCCTGAAGGAATAAGATTCAACTGTTATCCTGTGATGTTCTCATTCCACTGGGTATGTCAGCATTTACTTTGCCATCAATGTTTCAGTCCATTCTTCCTGGGCTCCAGCTGCACATACAGTGTGTGTGTGCATGCATGTGTGTGTGTGTGTGTGTGTGTGTGTGTGTGTGTGTGTACATGCACACACGCATGGGCACATGTGTGCACATGTCCATGGGTCCTCCAAAATGTAACACTGTCCAAAAGCAGCTCCCATTGCACTTGGGCATGTCAGGTTTTTGTAGACTGTTTATGACTGGTTGGCCAATGACATAAGGCCATGTGAGAAGGATAAAAGAGTCCACCAAGGCAGGAGGAATCCCAGGGAAGCCATAAGAGGAACCAGCAACCAGAGAAGGCTACAGAGAAGGCTGAAGAGGAGGCTGAGCTGTGCCCTGAGGGAGGGGTGGAGTCAAATAAGCAGAAACTAGGAGGAATTTCCAGATGGGTAAACATGGGGATAGGATACCTTGTGGGGCAGACTGGTGCAGGAGCAAAAACAATCAAAGCATGCTCCACAGGCTAACAAAGGCCTGGGTGAGGAGGCCAGAAAGGAGGCTGAATGCCAATGTGAAAGGCTTAAAGGCTGTCCCACAGGGAAGAGAAAGTCATCAAAGGTAGCTTCAGTTAGGAACTAGAATAATTAAAGAGGTGAGCTGAGAAAATTAATCTGGATTTGATGGTAATCTAAACAGAAAAAAACTAGTTAAAGGGCTCTTTATTTAATAACAGTGTCTTACACACACACATCTTCCATCTTCATCTCCATCCCCCCTCTTCTCCTTCAAAGCATTAGATCCTTCCCCATCCTGAGAAGTGGCCCCACCACTCACCCTTGCCCAAGACAGAAAAATCTGTCATTAGATTAAGTGCAACCTCCAATGTGAGATCTTCTCTGATCTTAGTTATTCCACCAACCCTACCAATTCTTCCTCACTTCTCTCCGTACTGTCTGTGGTCAGAGCTCTACCATGTTATCTCTCTGTCTTCCTATACCTATGGCTGGATAGAAGGACCTAACGCTATACAAGTGTCAATACTTCCTAATTAATATGCAATTTAAATCGGAATCCCAACAGGGGTTGGTCTGGAAAAGAAGATATTTCCCTGGAGAATGAAAAATGAAACAACTGCCATGAAATTTTTGAAATAAGACTAATGAAGCAGTCATGGCCTGCAGAAGACATTACAACACATGCCAGAGATGCTCCATGAAATCAGAATGGTCTTGGCAAAAGAATAAAGGGGAGGTGGGGGCAGGAACAACTAAAAGTCCAAAATCAAATCCAAATATATAAAGAAATTTCCTATTTGGTAAAAATGTCATTTCAAATAAGTGGAGAAAGGAGGGATTACTCAACAGATGACATTGGGAGAACTGATCCAACTGGAAATAAAATCAGATTTCCAAATCACTGTTTCCAAACCTAATTCTTAAATACCAGATAAAGGAAAAGCAAAACAAAACAAAGTAAAAGCCCTTTCTAAGCATTAGGGATGAAACAGATTTTTTTAAAATTATCTTTTGACGAAAGGAAATGTGTCAACTAAAATTAAAACACCAAAGCTATATGCAGACAACTAACATGAAAAATTGTCTCAAGAAACAATTCACATAGGAGCTATAGAAATTCCATGAATGTCTTTGATTCCACCATCTAAGTGTGGTCAAAACTCACCTAAAAGATTCTACATGAAAATGAAATGGAGTGACAGTTCTAGGAGTGGGTGAAAGATGTGGAGCAAACAAGCTCTTGCGCACGGTTAGGGACAATATGGATTAGAAAACTATTTGACAGTACTTATTATACCAGATATATGCTCACCCTTTGACCCAGCAGCTTTATTCCTAGACATATATCCAAGAAATAGAAATATTTTGATGGCTTATGTTCACCAAAAGACATGTACAAAAATTAATAGCCAAGAATAGTCTAAACTGGAAACCTAAAAGTCTATTAGCAAAGGAAGAGATAAATGACAGTTATTCATACAAGAGAACACTACAACACAATAAAGAACAAACTACTGCTACTGAAACAAGAGATATGAAACAAGAGATATGATATGAATCATAAGTAAAAGATAAAAAATACTACATGGTACAGGATTCTGCCTATATGAGATTCAAGAACAAGCAAAATCAAGTCAGAATATCTGTCACCTTGGTTCGCAGAGTAAGAGGTGATACTGATGAGGAAAAGGTAAGGGGGGTCTTCTTCAGTGTTAAAAATGTTCAATCTCCTCATCTGAGTGCTGGTTACAGACCACACACATGTATACACACATACCCACATGTATACAAATCCAAATATAAACACATGAATAGAAAAGCATGAAACATAAATACATTCACATTTCTTCATATATATCTACATGCACACATACATGTATACACAAATGCATATACACATATGTATGCATTCATATCTATAAGACACCCATGCACACACACATACATCTGCATACAAATATCTACATAGACATATTACATGCATGGTGTGTACACAATCCATGTATAAAATAAGCACACATGCACAATGCACATGCAAATACTTATGTGCCTATGTACATGCCAACATAGCCTTGATACTTCTGCATATACACACATTGTATATCCATGTGTATGTAGGAACATATATATATATATATATATATATATATATAGGTATATAAGTCCCCTGTTATTCAGTTTAGATATGTGCATTTTATGTATGTCAATACAAATGTGAAAAGCAAAAGGAGTTTGTAGGTATATATGATGTACTGAAAATATTCAATCTGGCAACACCATGAAATACAATTCATCCATCCATCCAGCAAGTATTTACTAAGCGCTGATTTTTTAATAGGCAATGATTTGGGGGGTTAATATCAGAATGTAGGCCATAATTGTCCTTATATAAACCCTTGTGTCTTCCTTTCTAGTTGTACCATGTTAATAGTTACTTAATGACATTTCTGTAAAATTGAGATAATAATGTCACTTGTTTCAGAGATTTGTTTCTCTGTTTAAATGATTAGGATCTGTAAAGGTATTAGGCACAGCTATGCTACCCAGGTGTCCATGGAAGACGGGGTGGTATTAGCCTCTGGTCTCCAAATGTGGACAGAACTGACATGCCTTCTTTTCTTTGATTCTTCCTAACTAAGAAACCAAAATATAACAAACCAGTAAGTACTCCCAAATTGGACGAACATACGGCATTAATTCCCAGGGTTTCCAGTTTCTCCATCAAGCTCTGCTCCAAAACTGTTCTTATCTCCTTCGTGAGGGAGGGGTTGGTCTTCAAAGCTTTCTTTAAATGTGTCTTGTTATTTAATTTCTGTTCATTTTCCCTTCCTGAAATAAAGGTGTTTTTTTTTCTTAAATGAGTTAAAAGAGAATTAAACAAATGCATTCAATCTCCAAGCAGAAATGGAAAAAAAAAACCCACTTAAAACAGCAAGTAAGCATTTATGATGTCTCAGGTTTTTGGACATTTTACTCTTGCAGTACAACATATCAATAATGCTTAATGCTATACCTCCTAAAACTAATTTAAGTCTGCTTCAAAACATCAGTGTCTTTAAAGACTCTTGATTGCTTAGCCAAATTAAAGCTAAATAATATAAGAAATGGAAGCACAGTAGAAAATTTTTATTTACAGGTTTAATGTTTTATCACTGGAACTATTTCACTATTTCCCGAAAAGTTAATCTCTAAAGTTTAGTTAGAATTGATGCATCATCTTATAAAGAAAAAAGCCCAATTTACTTTAGATCAGCAAAAATTTTAAAGTAACAAATTTAGTATAAGTTCATACAAAATTTCAAAATGTAATAATTATTATATCTCTCAAAATATTTTCCCAAATAAAAAAGATACTAACAAAAGTCTTAGGAAAAGTATTTTTTGTTGTTGTTGTTTCAAACAACCCATAATTAAAAACCAAGAAGCCACAACAAACCACATTCTCTTCACTTGTCCTTCCCTATTCTACTTTTCTTTCCTTTTTCTTTTTTCATGGTGCTCGGGCTGAACCCAGGGCCCTGCACATGCTAAGCAGATGCTCTACCAGTCCATCCTATTCCACCTTTACTCCTAGACAGTTCAAAAAAGCTTAGAGAAGGGGACAAATGGTGTGACCTTTGCAGGACAGAGGCTTGACTAAGGAGACCTTGGCTGAAGACTTAACTAAGGAGACATGACATTTGGCAGTTCAGACCCCATGTGAATGTCCAAAGCTAGATATGAGAGAAATGTGTCAACTATACTATCATTCTGAAGTCAAATCTCCAAGCAGGGGCATTTATCCAACAAGGCCCCCCCCCCCCAAAAAAAAAAAAAAGCCACAAAAAAAAAAGCCACAGTCCAGCCCTGAGAAACACTCTTCCACTGGTAACCACAGCACTCAGTTTGCAGAAGATCTTGAACAAAATGCCTTTTGTTTAAGATACTTTCTAGACACCCATTCAATTCCAGTACTAAAGAATTTCTGGTAAATTGATAAAGTTTTATTAAAAGCAAAATTGGACAAATCACTATTTGTACATTCAATAGGAGGGAAAAAGAAAAGCCCTGCACAAAGACACTTTTATATACTTTGCTATTCCACCTGCTAAACTGCAATTAAAAATTACATATGATTAAAAGTCAGAAATCATCTTTAATTTTAATATCCTCAACATTCATGCTGCTTGACTAACCACCAATGTTTCAAAAAAAAAAAAAAGTAAGCACTTCTGTACTAGGAACTGACGGACAATCATCAAAATCTAAATAGCTTAGCTGCAGCCAATGTTATTGACTATGTCTTCTAGTTGGTCATTGCAGTCTGCAACCATCAAGGGCTAAAGTAAAAGGCACCTAGAAAGAGACTGGGGTCACTGAAATAGATACAAACCTGACCCAAACTGCAAGAATAATTTATTGGCCAGTGTCTCAGATATAAAAAGGAAGAAACATGTCCTAAACAGAGGCTCTGGGCCACGTTTACTCTGGGATGTGGGTCTTGTGTAAAAATTAAGCAATGTCTATAACTGCTTAGCCACATTTTAAAAGTCCCAACAGCCTTTGTTATCAGTTGTTGCATTCATTTGCTAAAGTCTGGAGTTACCCTCAAACCTGATGACAAGTTCATTTCAATGATGTAAGGTAAATGAACTTTTCCCTTTGTCCTCAAACCCACTTTATATATTGGTGACTGCTTTGGGAAGCCCTTGGTAGGGATTCTTTCAAGGCTGAGGCTGGCTGATGGGAGCAAGAGAAAGAATGTAGAGTGGACAAGGGGAAAAAAAATTAAAAAGTTAGAGGTAGAATTAATTGCTTAAAAAAACAACAGAGGTGAAGATGTTAGTTAAAGCACATATTGCTCACCAAGACCAAGACAAAACTTTCCAGAGATCAGCATTTCCTCCCATATAAAATTTAAACACATGTGAGCAGATGGCCAGGCAAAAGCACAACAGCCCATACATGTGATCAGTTACACCATACATACAACAGATCATTCATGATAAGAAAGTAATTATAGTGCAAAGTAGAATTCCTGAGTTGCAAAGGGCTTTATCTACTAACTAGCAACAAACTTCTTATTTTTCACAAGCAGATCAGACTTCCCCAAAGGCCACCCAGCTAGTCTTGCAGAGCCATACCAACTTCCCTTTATTTGTTCTTTGCTTTAAACTACAGAAAGCAGAACATCTGGATTTTAGTTCGAGCCCATTCACTATATTCAGAAACCTGGGGCAGCTTTCTGACCCTCCTGTGTTTCAAGTTTTTGAAAAATGAAATAGCCTTTAAAGATCCCTCCTAGTTTTCACACTCCAATATCCTAAAAAACAGCAAAGCTGAATGTGCCTCTACACAACTGTCAAAAAGCAAGTACACAGAAATGTTCCTGTGTTGAGTTACCTCTTACTAACAGCCATACCGTCTTTTGCAAACTACTGTCAAAATCTAGCTCTACTATCGTTTATCTGCAAAATGGCACAAGCTGAGGAATTTATTGATGGCGATTAATCTGTTACCAGCATGCAGACACCATAGAGGTGCTAAAAGGAGGCAATCACTGGTTTTCTACAGCACTTGGGACTTGTGTGTTTTCTGAGGTCCTGAGCACTTTCCTGTTTCCCATCAGATCTGTGTCTAAACACATGGGGGGTGGCAAAGATTGTATTCTTTCCCAGTCCAGTTCCCCAGCAACCAGTGATGGCAACACTGATGCCCACATGGTAATGACCAATGATGTCTGCTAGCAATGATCTGAAACTTATATTGGGTAGAAGAACTCTAAGAGCATAAACAGGATGATGCCATGGGTAGAACCTGGAACTGCAAGTCAAGAGAGCCATCTGGGTGATGGTGAAGAGGTCACAACTCCTCTTGAAGACCTCACTCACTTGTTTTTTAAATGCACTAACTATATGACCAAGTTCTGGTTTTGAAATTAGGTGAACCTCCTAATTTCAAAAGACACTGGCCAACCTTTCTGTGAACCTCCGAACCATTTCCCAGTTTCTTCAAAGAAAAAGGGATTTTATGTCTTGGACATATAACAATACAAAAGTAGGACAGAAGAATATGTTACTTGCAAGTAAAATGATACATCATTATTCAGAACTCAAATAGGGTAAAATTTGTTCATCCTGTTTCTAAGAAGCCAGCAGGGATAGTCGAAAATCACTTAAAGACAATGTTTTAAAGCACCGTTTTCTTTTACCTATAGAGCCAGTGGCTGTTACTCAGTCCAGCTAAATGCTGTCAAGTGGACCATGCACCCCAAGGTTTCCATTTTTTCAAGAGATGTCAGAAATTAAGATATTCATGCAAAATAATGGCAACTGATAGTAAAATCATTTCCAATAGTGTAGCTCAAACAAATATCAGCCTGTCCTTGCAGGCCTCAAGTTCAACATCTGGGCTGTGGCCATCCTGAAGGCTGCTCAAAATAATTGCTATCGGGCTCAGGATGTGGCTCAAGCGGTAGCGTGCTCGCCTGGCATGCGTGGGGCCCGGCTTCGATCCTCAGCCCCACATATAAACAAAGATATTGTGTCCGCCGAAAACTAAAAAATAAATATTAAAAAAATTCTCTCTCTCTCTCTCAAAAATTAAAATAAAATAAATAATTGCTATCAACAACTCCTCCTTCTTTCTCTGACAATGCAACAAGGCAAACATCCCCTAAAAGGGCGGCAATATCTTTCAAAGACATGCTCATTAGAGTACCCACAAACTCCTCTCAACAACTTTGTATGGCTTTATTACAATTTAATGTATCTATACTCTTGTTTCTAAAATAAACAGATTTCTAAAACACTTTAACAGCAATGACAAAGAAATTTAAAAGAAATGAAGCAACTAAAATAATGCTTTTCAAAATAAGTGCTAACTATGAGTCATTACTTAGGAAATATGATATCCTAAGCCACTCTAACATAGAGAAAGTCAAGACAAATTGCAAAGGCACACAGAAGCAATATAAACAAATTCCATTAAAATACTTTTAAGGGCTGGAGTTGTGGCTCAGCAGTAGAATGTTCTCCTAGCACATATGAGGCCCTAGGTTTCAATCCTCAGCACCACAAAAACATAAATTAAATAAAGGTACAACTGCAAAGTAAATATTTAAAAATATATGTTTTTATAAAGGATTGATGATTAACATGGCAAGCCCAAGACTTTAAAATATATATTATGTAAATTTTATGAAACTCCTGATTTAGTCAATTCTGTTTGTAGCCTTGTTAAAAGGTATTTTTTGTAAAATTCTAGAGAATATAGGCACTAATAAGCAATATTGAGGGTTTTTTTTTACTTCTCTTCTTGTACAAAAATGACAAAACTAGAACCTGTGTATGTGTTACCAATTTGCTTTCTCCTAAGGAAGTGATATTTGGTAAAGTATTGTTAATAAAGAAAAAATTATGATAAACTGATTCAAACATATAAGAGTTTTCAGGATCTACTGCCCTAACATTAAGGAAATATGCAGTATAATTACACATTTTTTCATAAACTTCAAAAATTAAATCATAGAAAATAATTTTTACAACTGCCAAATAACTGAGTAAGCAGTAGTAATTTTAAATCTCCCCAAACCTGTGACAGCTCTTATTCTACCAAGAAGATATTATTTTACACATAAATATTCTATATCCAGAGTTTAGATACTATGCTTGTCTTCATATTTAAAAGAATTTGGAAATAGCCACTTTATCCATTCATTTCAGATTCATAGTATGAGAAATCACCACCACTCTGGAACAAATATTTCCCCATCATCTGGTATACAGCATGTGTGTCAGCTTGTCATCTGATCAGAAAATATCTGTATTGAAATAAAGACCTAAATTTTTTTATTTCCTAACACAGAAAACTTATTCATCTGTTTGCATAAGATTTTACTCTTGCAAAGCATTAGAGGAATAAGGTAACAGCACAGGAAGAATAAGGTAATAGCATATTATATATAAGTTGAAAATGTAATCTATATGTCTTCCTGATTTTAATACAGAATTAGAAATTAGGATATTCATGCAAATATAAACCACTGGCACGTATTTTCAGGGCTTGGGTTTTAGCATATACATACAATTTATGCAGATAAACCCTAATCAAGTCCTTGGTTACCTTTTTCTTCTTCTGAAAGTTCTTCTATGGGTTCCAGTACGTGTGACGAGAATGCCTGTTCTATTAACGAGGAAAAACAAGAACAGTACAAACAGGACAACAGTAAAGTCACATTAGTTTCCTTTCAAACCATTTCAAAATATATAATTCCACCATGTTTTAGTCATGCCTAAATGCCAATAATTTACTGGGAAAAAATATCAAGGCAGTCAGTTAAAACTGGTCACTTTTTCACAAAATCTTCTATATTTTTATGTATTTTCTATTAACTCCACCCTAAGGAAATTATATTTTTAAAAATTAAAAGTTAAAGTTTCTCATTCATCAAGCTGGTATCTGAAAGGAGTCTGTGTGAATACAAAAGGGTACAAATGCAAAAGATTTTCATTATTTATAGAATGTTTTGATTGAATGTCTGAATAGACTTTTCCTAGGGAAACATTACCTGCCAGCGGCAGGACTAAAATAAAGCCCCGCTCTAGAAATGGAGAGACATTTCCTTCACAGGCAAGGTCAGATTTGGGCCAAAGTGTAACCATGGTGGTCAGATAGGAGTCGTGAGATAAGGTCAACCAGCAAGTCTGGACTACATGGAGCATGGCTCACTCACCCTCAGCTTGACACAGAGCACTTCCCCATGTAGCATTCCACCTTCATCCCAAGGGAAGGTCTTTTCATTCTTACCCCAGGCACCAGCGTGGGCCAGGGGGAAAAATGACCAATAGATACTGAGTCCTCCTTAGGTGGCTAGGCATGGATCTAAGGTATCACGATCTAACCCTCCTACTTGGAGAATTGGATTGTTAATTTATTCAAATGTATTTTTGGTACTCTTATTTCAGATGGGTGGATGGATGGATGAGAGGATGGAGAGACAGATGAGTAGACAGATTTAGTTATATATAAATGGGCTTCTGTAGCTTGGCCAGGAACCCAGTCAACATATCTAACATTGTCTGTAGGGAAGAAATGCATTTTAAACCACTTTCAAATGAACCTTCTACTAAACAGGAGATCACTTTAATTTTGAAACACAGACACGGCTCCTTGAAGGAGCATGAATTTAATTTCATCCAGGAACACCAAAAATGTGTCTTTCAAATTTGTTATTCAGCATCTAGATATTAAAATTGTGCAAATAGGCTATTTTATAAGTTTGAACTACTGAGAATAGAGATTTACAGAGGACAGCTAATTTCAGTTTTTAAAAAGTCACATTTTGTATTTTACTGTACTTAATGAAAATGACAAAAATTTTTATGAGGAAAATCTGGGTAAAATCTTCACAAAATCAGTGAACATGTATTTATTGTCATCATATTAGTATTCTCTAGGGACAGGATAAACTGTCAGAGTTCTGACCTGTTCCCTTCTGTGGTGTAATGGGTAGCTCTGGAGGAAAGTTAGGTAGCTACAATAGGATTGGGGACATAAGGTGACCAAACCCCAGTTCCCATGTCAAATGGGCTGAGGCTGCTGCCAGGAAGGAAGCACTCTAATGCTGTGCAAGCCACTGTATGTCTCTCATTGCCCCAGTAATTGTCCTGAGCTGAGATCTCTAGGTTGAGAGCTGAAATACTTGGAGGCTTCCAGAAAAATCCTTGTATCAGTCTCCTATCCCCAGAAGAAAGTCTCCCAGACCTCTCCTACCCCTGCCCTCTATCCCACTGGCTGATTTATGGCTGGATTTCTTATCTCAATCTTAGAAACTATCATTTATCCAGTGCTGACTCAGTAGCTCATGCCTCATTAGATCCTCTAAGAGAGCCATTACTATTGTCTCCATTGGGCAGGCAAGGAAATCTAAGCCCACACTTTAATAAATGGGCTGTGAATCTAGACTCTTCACAATCTTAGCCATGTAACTACAATGCGCCCTTGCTGTGCTCTCTTGACATGTCTCCCTGACTTCTCCAAATGGCACCACTGTCCAGCCATTTTCGAAGGTACCAGTTCCACTAAATAGCTGCTATGTTGACTTCCTCTTCTCCAGTCTCATCAGTACGGCCCTGATTCCTGGAGGAGGAAGGTTATATTCAAGATCACCAACATCCCAAGCTGGTCTCCTCAGCTTTGATTCTTTCCATCTGCTCTGGTCAGGCCCAGTTTCCTGTAGCCCAGCTCTGCAGTTCTGCATGCCCAACCTCAGGCACACTCAGCAACCATGTCCTCCCCCCAAAATAACTTGGACAGCTGTAGGCTGCCATGAGGGTCTCCACCAACCTGATTTCCCTCAAGTCTCTTCTATGTTCTCTGTGCTTGGCCAAGTAACTAATCTGCACCTGTGTCTAGAGCTTTCCTGTTATCTTTCCTTCCTACTGTTTTCCCTATGTAGGATGCCATCCCAACATGTTTACATTCAAACCCACAATTCAAATGGCCAAATGTAGCTGATCCACCCATCCAGAGTTGCCCGAATGAAGAAAGTTTCTCCCTTGCCAGATACCCATTTAGTTTATCAATGGTTCTCACTCTGTACTATAATATAAGCATTTGCTCTCCTAATATACTTAAGTTCCCTGGGGGCAGCCTTTGTTTCCAATGCATGCATATCTGTCTCTGTTGTGCCTAGTCTTAGGCTTGCACAGAGGGACAACCCATAACTATCTGTCACTGCCCAGTGGTCTGTGATAGGAAGGAAAGCAGGAATGGCATGGGACACTGCTGGAGAAAAGGCAACATTATAAAGTGACATGTTAAACTCTTCTATAAGGGAAAAAAAAAAGCTTGTTAAAGATCTTTTTACACAGGAGATCAGCCACATGCAAACACTTCCCCTTGTAATTAATTACATAGAACCATGATCACCTCACCTGGCAGGGATCAGACCCAAACTCATTTAAAAGATCCTAGTCTGCTAAATAAAGAATTCCCTTCAGTAGTGCCCATCCCACTTCCCTGACACTGTTTGGGTCAACGGCACTCACAGAAAGCCATCTTTCTTCCCAGTAAGAGCCATAAGACACCAGAGCTCTAGAATATTTTACTTGTCACATATTGAACAATAAACTCTACTTGAACAAAGTGTTGTGTTAGGTTTCAGTATCTCGAGATATAAACAATTTATTCTGAGAGAAAACTATGATAGTAATTATAGAGTCTAATAAAAACACTTCATGCCTTTTGAAAACCAATTAGGATACACTTAAAGACTTAGGGCAGCTTCTTCATCTTTAACTTCTGTTTTTATAGCCCTTGTCTTAGCTACACCACAAAAGTCAGGCATATATAAACCCGTCATAATCTATACACCAAATTAAAGGAGACTTTTATGTGTATATAAAACTTAGCAGGTGCCAGTAGGCTTTGGAAAAATGATTATTTTGCATCCTCACTGCTAAAAGAAGATGAACATTTTGCCTGGTCACTCTAAAAAGGGTCCATATTATCAAGCCAATCTAAGCAATTGGTATGAGGGTCGATTTAACAACAAAGTATACTTTATTTTCTGGGCACTATTATTATTTTTAGTTGTAGATGAAGGCAATACCTTTGTTTTATTTATTTATTTTTATGTGGTACTGAGGATCAAACCCAGTGCCTCATACGTGCTAGGCAAGTGCTCTACCACCGAGTCACAACCCCAGCCCCCCATTATAATACCACAATTTAATTACAACTTCATAAGCAATATGTCTCCAGTGGTAAAAATACTAATAAAATTTTGAGACTTTTTTCTCAGTGAAAACACAGTAGTGAACGGCAATTATGCATGATCATGTTTCACCCTATCGACTGACTTACTGTCCATGTTGTTCAGCTTGTGCAGCAAAGTTGAAAGCAGGGGAATCAGCAAAGTTCCCATTTTTTCTAGACCCCTGCCTTCAGGACACCTAATCCTGGCACTGTTGGCTCATGGCAACTGCAGCGGGTCCCTTACATGAATTGCCCTCAGCTGGGGAAAGCAGCTTGCCTTCTCCTCAAAGCAGCCCATGTTTGGTGACAGACCAGTGTAGGGGTACAAGTCGCTTGCCATCCCTTGCCTCAACGTAGGACTATTCTGGAGTGCCCATCTCAGCTCTACAAAGGGATCCTGAGGCCTCCACTACTGCTACACATGGGCTCAACATCCCCCTTGCCCAATCCTGTTTCCTCCCACCTGTAAATCTCCACCTGGGAGCTCGTTCCCAGGGAATCCACTCTAAGATGGTTAGTAATCATGACATTTTTCATAATGAAGAAACTCCTCAAGGTTCAAAATGGAACAAAAGATGGAGGGCAAATGGGCTAATTTAATGTTACGTAATCATGGTTAACCTCCCCTTGCCCGATGCTGGGAAAGCTGTTGGGTGGCCCAGTGGAAGACATCGCTGGGCCCTGGCCAAGTCATCTCCTATTTCCCACCCACTGACATGCTCACAAATCCACTTTGATCCCAGGCCAAGGGCTGTGGCCCCTTGCCAGGACTGGTGGCATTTAAAACCAGCAATTCAACTCCAGCAGATGCCAGAAGAAGCAATGAACAGTCCTGGGTCAATCATGGGAGGGTCCACACAGAATATGTATGTGCTTTAGAACTGACAGGTTCCACAGGACCCTTCAATAAACCCAACAGTTTAACATACTTATTCCATGTGCCCTATCCTGAGCAACAAAGAATATAAAGTCCTTGTATAAGGCCATCAGAAGGCCAACAATAACAGAAAAAAAGCATAAGGGTCTAAAGCACACTAAGTTTCAAAGAGAAATGGCAGCCCTATCTTACCAAAATCTACCCCGAAAACTGTGGCAACAGAGAAACTGTAGGCCTAACATAAAATAACGTGAACAAAGAATGATTGCCAAAGATAAATTTCTTGTACATTCAATATTAAAGCAAATTTGTTTATGTCCAACATGCATTTCATCTGCTACCAGTCCAAGGGAAAAGGCCTGTATGTTCTAAACACTTGTACATATGTGAATTTACACATTACCTACTGAGATCAAGATAATTGGTCAACCTGAAATTATCTACGAGAAAAATCAGGTGAAATCAATAAATACTTCATATGTGAGCTATGGGTAAAAAGGATTATTACTAAGGACCATCATATATGGATTGGAATAACTGTGAAAAAAAATTCCAATTAGATCACAGATTTAAATCTAATCTTTTAAAAGGCCAAAACCCAAAGTATAGTGAAGTAAGTAATTATTAGATTCCAAAGCAATATGTAGGTAAGGCAGGAAAAAGATAGTCCTCCTCCTCTTTTGATTCATTAGTGATATAGAGTCGGCCACAGGAAAAAAAATATACTAGAGAACATATTCTGAAAACTGTAAGCCCTTTAATGGTATAAAATGTGAAATTTATCTACAGATATTCTCCCCATTTACAGAATCTTGTTAATAACAATTAGCACCCTTTTGGGCCTGATCCAAGAAATGAATCCTGGCAGCAATTTCATCCAATGAAATTTCTTCTCAACTATTTCCTTTGATTTCTCTCACATGTCTTTTCTAGATTTTCCTAACCAATCACTGAAACTGTTGATTTAAAAAAGGTGAGTTGCTGCCACACTGAAAGTTATAAAAACAACCACATATGCCCTGTGGCATGTGCTGGTTGGCTGGTCTGGGACCAAGTCACCCTCACTCTTACTCAATACCTGTTACTTTCTGCAAAAATCATAAATAGTCAAAGCATCAGCCAGTTAAAATTGCTTTTGCAAGTCCCACAAGATACACAATATTTTATGGTTGGTAGGTATGCTCAGTTTGCAACAACATGACATATTTATACATGTATACATTACCTTCTGACATATGAAGGCAGAACTGTTCTGTAATCCCCAAAATGTTCTGCCTAATTCCCCTCTTCCCAGCACTTTGGGTTAATAAGTTACCTAATTCAGGGTGGAAACTGCACATAAAATGCTGAGACTTACCATGTGCCGTTGTTAGACTTGATTTAGCTTCTAAAGTCTGAGAGACGGAGGCATTCACTGAAACAGGATAAGAAGGAAAAAGCTCACTGGCTCTATAGTTACAGCGTAACCACCCAAACATGACGATGACCAAATTCTCCTCAAAACAATCAAGACACATACAAGACCTCAAGGGACAAGTGTTTCAAGTGACAGATACTGCACAACTAACCTAACCCAATTTATAAAAGAGATTCATTGAGATTTAACTCCTCTTTTTTACAATACATAATTCAGTATATTCACAGGGCTGGTTTTCAGTATATTCACAGGGCTGGGCAACCATAATCACCAACTCATTTCAGAACATTTTCATCACCTTATCCTCAAATACCTGTCCCAATAACCATCATGCCTCATTTCTATCCTCATCCCCAGCCTCTGGCAAAAACTCAATCTACTTTGTGTTTCTATGATTGCCCTTTCTGGATAATTCCTGTGCATGGAACTATACAGTCTTTTGTGCTAGCTTCTTTCACTTAGCATCATGTTTTCAGGTTCACCTATGTAGCCATGTGTCAATTTCAGCATAAACTTTTATGGCTGAATGACATTCCATTATATAGATAGAACAAATTTTTATTTATTCATTAGTTAATGAACATTTAGGTTGTTTTCAGTTTGGGGCTATCAGAACAATCTGCAATGGATATTCAGGTATAATAAACCAATTTAAAAATCCCCCAATTTCTCAAAAAACTTAGAATGGAACCACCATTTGACCCAGTTATCCACTCTTCAGTCCCAAAGGACTTAAAATCAGCATACTAGAGTGACACAGTCCACATCAACATTCATAGTAAACTATGGAACCAACCCAGGTGCCCTTCATTAGATAAATGGATAAAGAAAATGTGGTACATATACACAATGGGATATTAGCTATAAAGAAGAATGAAATTGGGCTGGGGTTGTAGCTTAGTGGCAGAGTGCTTGCCTAGCATGTGTAAGGCACTGTGTTTGATTCTCACCACCATATAAAAATAAACAAAGGTCCATCTACAACTAAAAATGTATTTTAAAAAAAATGAAATTATGGCATTTACCAGTAAAGGGATGGAACTGGGGAGTATCATGCTAAGTGAAATAAGCCAATCCCAGAAAACCAAAGGCTGAATGTTCTTCCTGATATATGGATGCTGACTCACAATAGATGGGGTGCGGGGGTGGGGTGGGGTGGGGAGTGGAGGTTCACCAGATTGGATGGAGGGGCGAGGGGAAGGGAGGGAGGATGGGGATAGGAAAGACAGTAGAATGAATCAGACATAACTTTCCTATGTTCATATATGAATACACAACCAGTGTAACTCCATATCATGTACAACCACAAGAATGGGACATTATCCTCTATGTATGTATGATATGTCAGAATACATTCAACAATCATATAAAAAGAACAAATTAAAAGAAAGAAAGAAAAATCCTCCAAGCACTGGCTAGAAGATACCATGTGAGGTATTAATACAGCCACAGCCTTTATACAGGGGTATACCCCCTTTCAAGGAAGACCAAATGCTATCTATCTTAAATGTCTCCAGAAAATTAGATGCCTCAGTCTCCCTTCCAATATTTGACAATTCTTACCTAAAGGTCCTCTCTGGATTATTTAATTATTCAGTCTGCTTTCATCGAAACAGTTTTCCTATTAGTTTACTAGCTCTTTTTCTATTAAGATAGATCTTTAATCCTAATCTTATCCTAAAAAATATTGGCAACAACTTCAGTTACCTCCAAAGGATTATATATATTTTTTGTCTTTATAATGGCTACTGGGGAAAGTGTTCCACTCCTTACTGTCTGTAAATTGGTAACAACTCTGGAAACATGGCCTTCAAACTCATTTTCAATTTGCATCATCTAGATCAAGGTTTGGTAAACTACAGCAAACTACAGCCTGTGGTGCATATACAGCCTACTGCTTGCTTTTGTAAATAAAGTTTTATTAAAACATTCATTTAAGTATTGCATGTGGCTGGTTTGGTACTGCAACATCAGAGTTGAGTAGATGCGAAGGGAGTATCTAGCTCATAAAGCCTAAAATGGTCAATATCTAGCTCTTTACAGGAAAAGAAAAAAACAGAACATTGACTCTTTCTGATTTAATATTATTTCAGCTTACAGAATCCAAACAGCTGATCTTGTTACAATTAATCACATCTGGGTCTTCTTCCTAGCATTTGAATTCAGTCCCTTATGATGGGAGGAGAATAAATCAGGTCTGAAATGCCTGACTAGGGTCTAAGTCACTGTGAGTGCACACTAGTGAGGCCCACCTTACATTAGACATTAGAAATCCTTCATTTTGCTGAGTATGGGTCTGATTTACTTGCTGTATACTTCCTAAACTCTTTCACTTTATGATCTGGATTTTCTGGTCTCAAACTTTGGAGTGAGTGTGTTCTCTTAGTAAAGAGAACTTCCCCACCATTCTCAGAACCTCAGCTTTCAGGTCTTCTTCCATGCTGGGAGCAAGACTGGGGACTAGCAGCCCCTCTTGCCTCCTTGTCATGAAGCACAAAGGATACCCTCAGGAAGGGATTCTTACATATGGGCTATAGGTAAAATTTTTTTTTCTGGAATTCTCTAGAGCCAGTAGCATCCACGCTCTTGACCAAATGCCTCATCAGTAAAATTATCTCTCTGATATACATATTTATTTAAATATATATATAGGTTTTTTTTTTTTGGTACCAGGCATTGAACTCAGAGGTACTCTACCACATCCCCATCCTTATTTTTAATTTTTTAATTTAGAGACAGGGTCTCCCTGAGTTGTTTAGCACCTTGCGGTTGCTGAGGCTGACTTTGAACTTGCGATCCTCCCACTTCAGCTCCCAAGCCACTGGGATTACTATTTTATGTATACTATAAGTATTATATACATTTTAAAACAAAAGTATTTGAAAAAAATTAAAAGGATGAGTTTAGTTAATATATAAAAAGAAGTTCTAATAACTTCTTTCCTATATCCCAGTAGATCATGTTGTATAACTCACATCATCTTAACACACCATTTAGAGAAAAATCACCCTAACTAAATAAAACATTAGGTTTTTTTCCTGTTTGTGTGTTTAAGTTTAGTTGGCTAGTGAAAATTTTTTTATTTGTTTCATTACTGTCTTTTAACCTTTCCTGAAATGTGTGTGTGTGTTCTTTTCTTTCGAAGAGAATCTTTTCCTCCCAGCCCTTTTCTTGGCACTAGGTCTTCTTCCCTCCCCACTACCTCCTAACCTCTTCAGCTACGAGATGTGTCTGAGAACACTGAGTGGTTGAAACCATTTGTATTTTCCAGTCAACTGTACCAAATTTCAAAACATACTCATTAATATTCTCTGGTCATGACACATCCCCCTAGAGATTCCTGGGCCCATGAGGGCTCAGTGCCCAGCCTTGGTACCAGGTCCTCCAATGCACCAAACTCCTGTGCATGCACACGTCTGTCTTCCTGCCCCATCACCTGCTCCCTTACTTCCCCCACCAGTAGCTCTTTTCCTCACCCTTATTTTCCTGAATGGAAATAAAAATATTTCAGGTATTTAACTATTATTTTTAAAGTTTGTTTCTAAAATCTCAAGAGTTCCAGGAGACAAACCAGAAGGTCACGCTGATCACAAGTAAGGACCAGTGGATACCTATTCAAAGGCTGCAGCAGTGAGTCTTGGCCATGCACAAAGATGGCAGCTACCACTCCTGGTCACATAGTCATAGAACAGATCACCCTGGGAAATCCAAAACTATACCCTAGAGTGATGCCAAAGAATTTTTAATCATCCTTTTATAAGACAAATTGCAAAATAATGGTATAACTAACCAAAATCCCCACCAAGATCATGTGACATTTACAACCTGGGTTTCAGAACAAGGTCAAAGCCAAGAATCAAAAGAAATCATTAGGCAATCTCCAAATGCAGACAATTCTCTAAAAATAACAAGTAAAAGTTGTGTTTTGGCTTAGCATTTTAAAGATACTTTAGAGCTCTGGGCCACTGGAGAAACTTACTAGGTACAGTTGGGGCAACTGGCTTGGATTCAAAAGTTTGCCAAGCTAAAGAATTCCCTGAAATGGAAAAAAAAAAAAAAAGTTAGTAACAAAAATCACAAGAAATGGAATAAATTTTGGCAGCCCTTACCCTAGTTTTTCTCCCCCAGGAAAACAATAAATGAAATTTAATCAAACACCTCACCCAACAGAATAAATATATTTAATATGAATCTTTTTTTAAAATTAAATTTTCTCTAGAAATACTTTCAAACAGTAATGATACCTAAGCAATTATATGGGTACCCCTCACTACCTGAGTTTGCTCGCTTTCAAGAGAAATTATGGGTACCCCTCACTACCTGAGCTTGCTCTCTTTCAAGAGAAGTTACAGGAAACCATACCTTTTCACCTCCAACCCTTTATCTCAAAACAAGAGGGAAGGAAGCCCCGCTAATATACCATAGTACCAAACCCCAGCTGGTGTCTTTCAGAGAGGCAAAGATTCTTTAACAATCCTAGATGTTCAAGAAGCAGAACTGGAATCTTGGTGAAGGAAGCCAGGTAGAAGTCAAGCTTTTAGGCTTCATGATCAGGGCACCAGTCTCCCTTCTGGTCTAGCTCTAGGGTGATATGAGATGTATGAGCTACCTATCACTGCTACAACTGGTAGGTTCCATAAACCCCAACCAGGTTTAGAACCAACCTTTAACCCCAAACTGCCACAATTGAGAATAATGCAGCAAGTCTTTAGAGTAATTGAGAATAATTAGGTGTTTAATATCAATCATAATGGCTAACACTGAGGAGTGCTAAACAGGTGTACTTCACACATATTCATATATGTTATCCCATTTAATCCTATAACAAACCTATGGTATGGTCATTATTAATATTAGAGCTGAGAAAACTGAGCAGAGAATCATACAGCTATAAAGTGTCAGAGATGGAGCTGAACCCAAGCCACCTCCAGACCCTGTGCTTTAATCACAACTCTGTCCTCTGGTATAGAATGGTTACTGAGCAGGTTATATTATATGCATAATTGTATTCTGATATAAAAAAGTGAAACCATTCAATGTGACAATTTAGATTTTTTTAATTCTTCAACTTTCTGGGTTGTGCTAACAGATCTCCCAAATACGAATATAAGAAGAAGACAGATATCCCTAACAGTAAGAGGAATGCCCCCTCAGCACCCATGAGCCAGCAGAGCCCATATGCATCTGTGCCCAGAGCACAAGACACCTCACCTCTAGCAAGGGGATCCTGTCCACTCACCTTTGGGTTCACTGACACTGCTAAATGGTTTATTGGTAAACTCTTTAATCTGCAAAGAAAAACAGTCTTCTAGTGATGCATATTCAAAACTCAATAGGGACAGATGAGATAATGTGTAGATGTGGTTGTTAGGACATTAACTTTTTGCTAATTTATTCAGAGGGTACATGGACCTTAAAAGCACTGAGGCAGCCGGGTATGATGGCACATGCCTATAATCATAGTAACATGGGCTGAGGCAGGAGGATCACAAGTTCAAAGCCAGCCTCAGCAAAAGTGAGGCATTAAGAAACTCAGTGAGACCCTGACTCTAAATAAAATACAAAATAGGGCTGGGGATGTGGCTCAGTGGTTGAGTGACCCTGAGTTCAATCCTCAGTACCAAACAAATAAACAAAAAAGCACCCAGGCAAAAGTTTTTACCAAAATAGTGTATTTGGACTTGGCTGTTTTCCAAAGTAATTACCAAAGAAATTCTTATCTACCTTCAAATTTATTCTGAATTTTAAATGAATAAATCTGCTTCATATGGTGATTTTTAGATATCTTTAATTTTTTAATATTGTGTTACAAGCAATCAATCACAAGGAGAAAATATTCCACCTTCATTACCATATACAATTTTAAAAAATGCTCTAAACTAAAAACTCATGCTCTTAGGATAAATCATGTTGCTTGAAGAAGCCTGATACCAGGCTATTGCCAGCTTACCTGCTGCCTCTGAGTGATAATCAGTTCGTTTTGCTCCTGGAGTCTCTGGCCTAGTTCTTCTATTCTTTTCTTGTAGAAAACATTGCTTGTATTTAGATCATCTATCATGGAGGTTCGAAGTTTCTCTATATGTGACAGAAGCTGAAAAAGAAATTAAGAAGGGCATCTGTCTGCAAGCTGCTTATTATAAATTCTTCCCATGAATGTGATGTACACCCCTTGACTTATAGCTGGTCTTGCTATCTGTGCACATCAAGTCACTGAATAAATTTCTAGCACTGTGTACCAAGGCCCTGGCTGTCCTAGGTGCTTTATCTCTTCCCAGGGAGCTCATAACCTAAGACAGAACTGATAATGGGAGCAGCTGCGCCAATATGAGCACAGGACATGAAACAGCAGATGGAGGCACAGTGACAAGGTGAAGGCTTCTCTCCCAGAGCACTACCCACCCTCCTCACTGAGCTCCTCATGTTCCCATGTGTCACCTCAGCTTAAAAATGAGCATTTCCTGTGCCAGAGAGTGCATCTGAATTATTTTTATATTCCCTATTAGCACCTAGCAACAATCCATGCTCTCAATAAATATTTCCTGAGAAATGGAGGGGGCGTTGGGAGTTGAGTAAAGAAGAAGGAAGGAGAAAGGTATGGATGGGGGAGGGGGAAGAAAGGGAGATGAAAGAAACACCAGTAGGTTTATCTTTAGAGACTCAATGCTAGGGAAGATCATATACTGAGCACAAAGAATCCAAGAATTTGTTTTTGATAATTTAGGGGGAGGGTCTTAAAGCAATTTCAATAGTTGTTTAAACAGAGGGGTGAATTCAAAAGTTTGGTGACTGGGGCTAAGGATATTCTAAGTCTGAGGCCTGGACGTGGAGCCAGGTGTGCCAATCAATAGGACTGACAGTATCCGGGTCTAATCTGTGGTTGTAAGAGCCTCCAGATCAGCATTTCCTAACTTGCCTTTTTAAAAATCAACACTCACTATGTGCTAGACACTGTGTGAAGTATTCTGTCTTGCTTCACTCACACCACAAATATTACAGATATGGGTTCCGGCCTCCTTGTACAAATGGGAAAATTTGAGTCTAGAGAAGTAAAAGAAATGGCCCAGATTCAGATAGCTGGAGCGGGTGGAGCCCAGACTTTGAACTTCCACGTCCAGCTCCAGTGTCAACGCTCTCCTTCCCTACAGGGCATGGTCTCACCCCTTGACGTGGTCTGTGCTTCTCTGAGCCTGGACAAACACACAGTGGAAGCATGCTGGGAAGATTTTCTGAGTGAAGCTTGAAAAGAACCTTTCATAGCCTGATGGATCTTAAGAATCCCCCCACGGAGGACACTGTCAAGGACTTGTCACCTTCACTGTACTTTTATGGACCCCTGGAAGTGCGTCCCCAAAAGCAGTTTGGAAAAGGCTGAGCCAGAAATCGAAAAGAAAGATCAGTAAAAATGGTCAGAGCTCTGGGTGGAGTTTAAGATCTTGGACCCAGATCGACAATTTGAGGAGTCACTCTAAGCCCCCAAAAGCAAGGGAATGCAGGAAAAACCAAGGGATGACATCATTTTGATTCTGGAATTAAGACTAGAAAGGCACTGGGAGAGGAATGTGGAGAGTCTGAGTCAGATGCTATTTCAAAAAGCATGTGGCCCCCTGGAGCCCATTTTCTCATGCGCTACCATCTGAGCTCTGCGCTTTTCTCTCTACTATGCACATCGGCCCTCTGCCTTCCCTTTCATGGCAGGACCATTCTGCACCCTCCCAAGCTTTCAGATGTATTCTGCTGGGTCAAAAGGGTATGCCATCGCTTATCTGTGACTGCCTCTGAACTCTCACCAGTGTTATTTTTAAAAAAGACTGCCAAGAATCTAGGTAAAGCAATAAAAAGCTGGCAAAGGCAACTTCCCCTAAACAGAGAAACACAATATGTGCATTGTGAGAACAGGAGGCACCAATCATGTGGAATAATTAATAGTTAGGTCTTGGGCAGAGATTGCTGAACCTGATTGAATTCACCTCTCTGTCAGGATTTAAGAGAAGGAAGAGAAACAGCTCTTCAACCGCCAGACCAGAAGACAGGGGACAGCGCAGCCTGGCGGCCCTGAGGCCACACACCTCTCTTGGAGCTGGGAAGGCCTGGCCTCCTTCCTCCACGTGCCAACAGCCTATCACAGCTTGCACTGAGAAAGTGTTTGAAATGGCAGCTCATATACAGCTCAGGCTGAAGGCTCGAAACTGCCTGGAACACAGCAGGCTCAGAAGGGGCAAGGATTTTAAAATGCCCCCCATTCAGAAGTAGACCTAAATGGACAGTTGCCTAAACCCAGTGGTACCTTGAAGAATAGGAACTTTAATCATCCAAAACCGAATCGCCTGGGTTGTTGGGGTTTTGTTTTTTTCTAAAATACGCACTCTCAGATTTACCTACCGAATCAGAATCTAATGAGTGGAGCCAGGCATAGGAATTTTAGAAGATTCTTAGGTCACTCTGAAGGGCATCCTTGGTTAGGAACTATGACCTCAGCAACGTGGAAGACATATCCGTTGTCCTTACAGAAAACAGTCACTCCCCACACTCCCTGCCTGTCCTGTCTCCACTGGCTCAGTCCCTGAAGCATGAGAGGTGAGCCAGAAAGTGTGGAGCACCAGCCCAGGCCCTGGAGTACACAGGTCTGGATTCAAGTCCAGCACTGCTGGGCAAGGCAATTTCCTCATCTGCAAAATGGATAACAGTAGGATTAAATATGCAGTTACCACAAATACCAATGTTTCCCAGTACTGTGCTGGTCAACCATCACTCAAAATAACAAAAACAATCCTGATCAAGAAGATGTGCACACTTTTGAGCAAGCAAGCATGGGCCAGCTCCAACACACCACCACAGGAACTGAAACAACGGGCCACTTGTACTTCCATGTGACACAGAGGTACAACAGAAGACACTTCTTACACAATGGATCCATGTATGGTGAGGAGCAACTGTCATCCACTGATGCTGAGGTTCACAGATAAAACCTGCAGGTCAACCCCATCATCCTGACCACATGGGCACTGCCATGAGCAATGCCTCCCTTAGCCCAGTACTGAAAGCCAGCCTAGTGTCCTTCCCACAGCAGGGACTGTACTTACAGACAACATAGTTGACCCTGCTCTTCTGAACCCTACAATTAGTGTCTCTCTGTCTACAGAAACAGGGCTGCATGATCCCCTTGCAGGCAACCAGCTACCTCCAGCCTTCCTTCAGCAAGTACTGAATGAGCCCCATCCACATTTTAAACACATTAGTGGATGCTGGGAAGATAAGGGGGAGCTCAGTAGATAGAGCTCTTTGCTCAGAGCAAGGAGAGACAGACAATAAACAAGTAAATTTTTTAAAAAAAGATTTAAAATAGTGATCAGAGCTATGTTTGTGAAGTCATGACAATGAGGCCAAGGAGGGTGTGGCAAGCAAGATTCTAACAAGGCCCTCAAGAGTATACATGCCCAGAGTGGTCCCTGTCCCGTGGGTTGGGTAGAACTGACCTTGTGCTTCTAACAAGACAGTAGAGATGAAGGTTATTTGCAGATATAGTTAAAAATCTCAATCTGCTGACTTCAAGCTAATGAAAAGAAAGATTTTCCTGTGTGCGCCTGTCTTGGTTAGGGAGCCTTTTAAAAGAAGTTCCAGTGTTTTCCTGAAGAGGAGAATGAAAGCAGGAAACTCTTCAGCCAGCCTTCAAGAGGCCGACAGCCATGCTGAGAACTGCTGTGGACAGTGATAGCCTCTAGGCGCTCAGAGTTTTGACCAAGCATTTACCATGGTGGGCTGTAGAGGAGAATACAGCCCAGCTGCCATTCATTGTCCCTGAGCAGTGGACCCAGCCAAGCCATGCCTGGTCTCTTTTACCATGGAAACTGTGAGATGATAAATGGGTGATTTCAGACCACTAAATTTGTAGTAATCTGCCACAAAGAACAGAAAACTAATCTGAAGGGGAAGGAACCAGCCAGGTGAAGAGCAAGGGGAAGGGCTTTCCACGTGTTAAAAAAAGACCGGAATATTCTAGAAATTATCAGAAGGCCATCATATCTAGAAAGGGCAGGTTTAGAGAGGGAAACAAGCAGTGGTAGCCAGCAGCCAGATTATTTTACCTGTTCTTTAGGGAGCATGTAAAGAAAGGGGAAAGCTAGAACTGCAAAGACCAGTTTGGGGGTTCTAGGAATGATGGAGGCTGGGCTAAAGGTAGAGGCTATGGATATGTGGAGAACAGGGAGGCAAGATCCATGGCAGGCCTGCTAATGGTCTGTGACTGGGGACTGAGGGAGAGAGAGGGAACAATGTTAGTCTGGGGAAACTAGGGTGCCATGTACCACATGGGAACAAGCTCAAGAACTGCATTTTTGACCTGTTACGCCTAAGAAGCCGGTGGACATGTCAGTGCAAGCTGGCTGCCTTACCTGGAGCTCAGAAGGGAGAAATACCCAGGGTACTGTCCACAGACAGCACCATTCCCAAGTTACCCACTGTTCAATCCCTAGGGCACTCCATAGCCATTTTCCCAGGACTCACCTCAGTCCTCCCCTCAGCTCTTTGTACCCTCACTTCCTACTGTACTACAGTCAAGTACTAATCTCTGAGGGCAGAGATGGTTTCCTACCTCTTTCAACCCTATAGAGTGCAATCTGTAGAAGATGCTCAGGAAATATCTCCTGAACATTTTCTGAACTGAATCACGGCATTGCTCTTACAATTTCCAGTCTATAAAGACCACCATATGAGTGCATGTGCCTGTCACGTGTGTGTGTGAATACTATAGGTTATTTACATGACTAACTAGTATTACAAATAGCAAAAGAAAAATTATGATTCCTATTTCCTTTTCTAGCAATGATACAATTTTGAAATTAGATCAACTAACTTTCCCAGTAAAGTTCCTCTAGAATGTTCTACAAGTGTTTTGTGGAATGTCTTTATAGGGTCTATAAGAGCAGTAGAAAGAAATTATATCAAGATTAGTAGCTGTGGTTATCTTTGGTATTAGAATTAAAAGTAATTTTAGTTTTGTTACCCATTTCTCCACAAGTGCTAGGCAGACAAATATCACCTTCCTATAAAGAAGTAGATATTCTTTCCAAAAATGATCCACTTGGGGCTGGGGTGTGGTGCCATGGCAGAGTGCCTGCTTGGCCTGTGCAAGACCCTGGGCTCCAACTCCAGCACCAAAAAAGACCCAGTTAGAGGCCCCTGGCTGCTGCTGCTTTTTTTTTTTTTTTTTTTAAAAAGAAAGAGGGGGGAAGAGAAAGAGAGGAGAGGGAGAGAGAGAGAGAGAGAGAGAGAGAGAGAATTTTTTTTTAATACTTATTTTTCAGTTTTCGGTGGACACAACATCTTTATTTTTATGTGGTGCTGAGGATTGAACCCAGCGCCCTGCACATGCCAGGCGAGCACGTTACCGCTTGAGCCACATCCCCAGCCCCCCTGGCTTCTTGATCTTACCCGGCTCTTCTCTTTCTTGTGTTCCTGATGGAGAGCTTGAACTCGAGCTGTCCACTTGCTTTCCTACAAGAGTAAAACCAGTGATGTGTTTGCATTGGTAACACTGAAAGCTGCTCAAAATGGGAGCCTGCTTTTCAGTGAGTACCTACGAAACCCAACAGTCTGATAAAGTTTTACTTAAAAGTTTTATAATACACATAGTTGAAAATGTTTAAACCCATTTGCCCCTGATTTTAATCATATACTGTAAGGCAGAGTCAGCAAAGATTTCTATTACAGAGCTAATAGTAAATATTTTGGATTGGAAGGGTTTAAGGAGTTGGTCACCACTGTGGGTAGTCAGAGAACAGCCACCGTAAGATGTGAATCAAAAGATATAGCTGTGTTCCAATACAATTTTATTTGCAAAAATGTTAATTTGCTAATGTAAGGGGCCAAAAGGAAACACCAACATTTCTAGGTCTATGGGTTCTGAATTGACAACACAACTCATGGAAAGGAAACAGAAAAAATTCAGGTAGGACTTCAGTATTTTATAACCACTTCCTTCAATTCATGGGAGATAACACTGTGGTCTCTGGCCTGTTGGAAGCAGTGTCAACAGTCCAGTTCAGGCCCCAACTTTTGGTCTCCGACCTTACACTAAGTTCCTCACTAGGTAGCTGCAGGATAAGAGGATTAGGAGAAGGTTCTGCTCTGTACATGGGAAAAAGTAGACATAAGGATGGAAATTTCTATACAACATGTAGTTGATCAGGTCCTGCTTAGTTAGTGGGGGACCAGAGAAACACTATCAGCTGTTACTGGAGAATGAGTTAGAGGTACTGAAAATAGAGAGGTGACTGACAGGCAGAGAAAGCAGCAGGAGCAAGGCAGGGACAGGATGCTTTGTTCCAGAACAGGAGCTGCTGGGCCCAGCCACTGGAGCATCAGGTAAAGTGAGGCCTGGGGGGAGATAGCACAAGGTGTATGTCCAGAGGACCCACTATGCCAGTTATGGATTCTAGACTTCATTTTGTGAAAACTAAAATCATTGATGCATTTTAGACAGGTCAGTGACAGGGTCAACCTGGCTGCAATGGAGAATGTAGACTTGGGGGAAGCTGGCAAGACATGAGCACTAAACAAGAAGCATCACAGTCCATATTTCAAAATTATACTTACATTTTAAAAAATAACAGTCTATTTTTTTCAAATATTTTTTGTAGTTGTAGATGGACAGAATCTCTTTGTTTATTTTTATGTGCTGCTGAGGATCGAACCTAGTGCTTCACATGTGCTAGGCAAGCACTCTGCCACTGAGCTCCAGCCCCAGCCCAATAGTCTTATTTTAAAAACATAATCCCAAATTCCTAAACTCTAATCTTTGTTTCCTGACTTAAAGAAAATTGCTCCCCCAAACCGCTATGACCAAAATAGCCAAAAGAAAGATTAGGCTGATGATGGAGGTTCATTTTCAAATGATTTTAATTATTTTGTCCAAAAAATGTAGAATATCATCATTTCACCCACGTGATGGTATATTTAAGCTCCCAAAATAAATTCAGGGGCTGGGATTGTGGCTCAGAAGTAGAATGTTCGCCTACCACATGCGAAGCTCTGGGTTCAGTCCTCAGCACTACATAAAAATAAATAAATAAAGGTACTGTGTCCAATTACAAGTAAAAAATAAATATTAAAAAAATAAAAATAAATAAATTCAATGCTTCTATATGCCTTTTGACATGAAAATGTAGTTCAAATTGCCATTACGTGAGGGAAGGACTGAAATAAGTTTGCCTACTGTTCTGTATCTACATCCATTAGTCAAAAAGCAAGCATTACTGCACACCTATTGTGATTCAGGCATGTGTTAGGAGGCAAGAAAACAGGTCATCTTCATGGTCACTAAAAGAAACAAACACACTTTCCACAGGTGACAGCTATTGAAAATGACCTCACTGAGAAAAACCAAGGCAATGAAAAATGCCTACCTGGTTATCGAGAAGCTGCATCACATTTTGGAAATCCTGGGGATGTGGAGAACGGTCTTCTTTAAACTCATGTGCATCTTTTAATGTGCCTATGTTGGACTTAATCTGCATATTGGACTTCTGGATTTCTGACAATTGCTATAAAATAAAATTCAAACCACCAGCACAAATTTCATATATTTTTTTTAAAAAAATTTATTTATATTTTTTAGTTGTAGGTTAACACACAGTATCTTTATTTATTTTTATGTGGTGCTGAGGATTAAACTCGGTGCCTCGCACATGCGAGGCAAGTGCTTTACCACTGAGCTTACAGCCTCAGCCCCACAAATGTCATATATTTTTATAAGACTGAAATAGCAACTAAAATCAGGGAACGTGAAGTCACGTTTTAAATCTGTCTGTTCTCCTGGAGGCTCCTTGTGCTTCTCCCCTGTCCCCTTCCCTGCAGCTTTAATGTCTTGTTTCTATTGTTTTCTGGTCTTTCCAGAACATGAAAAACCTTTCTAATCTTAGACAATGGGCTTTAAAAAATGTAACAGGCACAAAATAGTTGCCAGAAACAGAGGAAGTGGGTGCAGATGGTTCTTAAGATAATTCAGTGAAACACTGATACTGTCCAGGAGTCATATCAGTAAACCCAGTAGGGATGCAGTATCTTCTTGCACCCTTTGCTTATACTGTTCCCAAAGTTACCCAGGACAAAAGCCCTCAGAAAACCACAGGAGTCAATATGTTAACTTCAAAAATGAAGGATGAGGAAGCAGACCTCCTACTCCTTATATGTGGACTGCTCACAGTGACTTCAGTTCAAAGAAGGGGGAAAGAGTGACTTTTCAGTAGACAAACTTGCTCTGACAAAAACCTCTTTAGCCAGGTAACTGAGGCCAATACCAACAGTCCTAATTTGTGGAGACGTATGTACCTTTGATGTGATGTGAACTGGCACTTTTTTTTAACCAAGGTCCTCTCTCCAAAACAAACCTACAAACCCAGTCTAACCACGAGAAAAACATTAGACAAATTCCAACAGCAGGGCATCCTTCATAACTGACCAGTATTCCTTAAAATTGTTAGGGTCATCAAAGACAGGATTGACAAGCTGTCACAAATGAGGAGCCTAAGGAGATAAGACAACTATATGTAACATGGTATCCTGGACAGGATCTTAGAGCAGAAAAAGGACATTAGATAAAAACGAAAGAATTCAGAGAGGGACCTTAGCACTGTTCCAAAAACAACTTCCATCCTTGTTTCTAAAACCTGCTGGCCCCTAGAGGGAGCTCAAGGATCATCCTTCAGCACCCTCCTTCCTTACCCCATTGATGACTAAGATGCAGAGGGCCCAGAAAACTCTAGCAGGAGGACCCTACTTGGCACAGAGGATGAAGGTCCCAGCCTAGCTAGCCCTGTCTATTATCCATGCTTATGACCTGGGCAGTGCGGACCAGGGTTGTTCCACAGGGTAGGGGATCATTTCGCAGGATCCTGCTTGCTTTAGAGACCCTTTGCTGGATAGGCCTGTGGTGAGGAGGGGGCTACGCAAGGATTCCTGCTCAGTTTTTCTGGATCAGTTTCCTTCTTCCACACCAGTGATCCATGTCTACCTTTCCTGCCATGACAGGCCTCGAGCTCCTTGGGACTGGAGTAGGGAGGGGGGTTCTGCAGCAAGGCAAGGAAAAGTGACTTCCAGATCCTCTGACCATAATGCCATTCTAATGCTACCTTTCAAGACAACCAATACTGTGAGAAGTTATAGGTTCAGTACTTACATATTCTAATGCTGAATTCTTAGAAGTTAGTTCTTTAAACTCCTTCATAAACATCTCCTTGACTTTTTCCATTTCATCAACTAGTTTCTCTTTTTCTTCTGCTTTCCATCTATCAAATAACTTCAGAAAGTCTTCCTCTTTTGTTTTTTGCATTTCATATTCCTGAAAGTATTAATATAAGGCTTTAAAAGTTCCGATATAAAGTAAACACGCTAAATTTTAAACAAATGGTCAGAGCATCACCTCAAATTTGTTAGCTAGTTTCAGTTACACTTATAATATGCTTCCCATAATGTCAGGTCTGTGTGCAATGATTCTTCCAGACTGCAGCAGCACACAACATCCCTATGTCATCACCTCCCTTCAAATACCTACAGAGGCCAAAAGCCTCCTGCTTTGCATTCTGCTACAGAATGCAAGAATGTGTAAAATGTCAATGTATTTTAAAAGAATAACTCTATTGAACAGTAGAATAAAATTGATACATCGACACTGTATAAAACTGAGTAGAGTAGCCCCATCTCCCTCCAAAAAAATACATACACACATATACATATACACACATATTATAAAAAACATATTATATGTATGTATAGTATGTATATGCATTCATATATATATATACATATATATATGATAGATTCTTCTCAAATACACATGCAACATTCATCAGGAGAGACTGAACGTTAGGTCATAAAATGTTTCTCAAATTTAAAAAGGATGAATTCCTGCAAAGAATCTTCTCCAATCACAACAGAATAAAACCAAAAATCAATAACAGAAGGAAAATTAGTAAATATGTGAAATTAAAGAACGTATTCCTAAAATAACCAATAAGGCAAAGAAAACCTCACTAGAGAAATTAGAAAATACTTTGAGGTAACTGAAAATTTAAAATACCAAAACATTTAGGATGCAGCCAAATCCATGCTCAGAGAGTAAAATATAGTTATAAAAGTCTATACTTCAAAAGATCTCAACAACCTAATTTTATGCCTTAAGAAATTAGAAAGAGATGAGCAAACTAAATCCAAAACCAGCTGAAAAGAAATACTTAATATCAGAACAAAAGATAAACAAAATAAGAACAGAAAAGCAATAGAGAGAATGGATGAAACCAAAAGTTGGTTCTTCAAAAAGATCAACACAATTGGCAAATTTATAGTTAGTCTAAGAAATAATTTAGAGAAATTTAAAGGACTATAAGAGAATATGACAAACATACTTGCACACCAACAAACAAACTAGGTAAAATGGACACATTCCTAGAAAAATACAAATTAGGGCTGGGAATGTAGCTCAGGAATAGAATATTTGCCTAGCTTGCATGAGGCCCGGATTCAATTCTCAGTTAAGTGGGGAAAGGGAGGAATCACAAACTATCAGAAGTGACACAAGAAGAAAAGGAAAATTTCAATAGACTTTGCACAAGTAAAAAGAAAGAAACCGTATTCAAAGACCTCCCAAAGGACTCCAGGCTCAGTAGTGCAGGGCTGTGGTTCCAGCTGCTCAGGAGGCTGAGGCAGGAGAATTGTAAGTTCAAGGTCAGCCTCAATAATTTAGCGTGGCCCCCTAAGCAACTCAGTGAGACCCTATTTCTAAATACAGTATTTTAAAATAGGGCTGGGAATGTGGCTCAGAAGTTAAGAACCCTTGGGTTTAATCCCTAGTACCAACAACAAAAAACAATCTCCAGGGGAAAGTCCAAAACCGGAAGTCCTCAGTGGTAAATTCTACCAAATATTTAAAAGAATAAACAAAAAACTAAACCAATGCTACTCAAAATTTTCAAAAAAAGTAGAAGAGAAGGGATTATTTCCTAAAACATTCTATCAGGACTATATTTTCCAGAGGCAGACAGAGATACACAAGAAAAGAAAATCACATGGCAATAATTTATGAAAATAGATGCAAAAATTCTCAAAAAATACTAGCAATGCAAATCCAAGAGCACATTGAAAAGATCATACACCATGACCAAGGGGGCTGTATGCTAGAGAGCAACATTGGTTTAACAGAAGAAAATCAATCCATGTAACACTACACTAATGGAAAGAAGGAAACAGCAACACACACAATCGTCTAAACAGACACAAAAAGCATTTGATAAAATTCAACATCCTTATATGAAAAGCATTCAGTAAAATAGAAACAGAAGGCAAGCTCTAAAATATTTAGAGAAATTAAAATGACTATAAGAGAATATGACAAATATAAGAAAAGGCACTTATGAAAAACCCACAGCTAACATTATAATCAATGGTAGAAAACTGAAACCTTTCCTCCTGTGACCAGCAACACATCAAGGTACTGCTGCATTGCTTTCACTGCTTTTACCACTATTCAGCACTGTACTGGAGATCCTAGTTAGAGCAACTAGGCATGAAAAATAAATAAACTGTGTCCAAATTGGAAAAGAAACAAACCCAAATCTGTTTGCAGATAACAAGATTGTCTATATAGAAAATCACATAAATATATTTAAAAAGCTATCAGAGTAACAAATTCAGCAAAATTGCAGAGCATAAAGTTAAGAAACAAAATCTTTTTTTTTTCCTATATACCAGCAATGGAAATTAAGGAAACAATTCTTGATCTTTATCTTTCATCCTGTACAAAAGCCAAACTCAAAGACAGGAATTTGTCCAGAAACTCTGCAACTGCTAGAAGAAAACAGGGTCAACACTCCAACAGGTGCAGGCATCAACTTCCTTTAAGATTTCTAAAGCTCAGGAAACAAGACCGAGAATTAATAATGAAATGGCATCAAATTAAAAAGCTGCACAGCAAAGGAAACTAAGAATATGAAGAGAGAACCTAACGAATGGGAGAAAATCTTTGCCAGCTACTCTTTCGACAAAGTATTAATATCTAGAATATATGAACAAATGACATAAACAGACACTTCCTACAAGAAAAAAATACCAATGGCCAACAAATACATGCAAAAATATTTAATGTCTTTGGCCATTCAAGAAATGCAAATCAAAACTACACTGAGAATTCATCTCATTCCAGTTAGAATAGCAATCAAGGACACAAAAAATAATAAATGTTCTTAAAGATGGGGTGGGGGGACACTTTTGCACTGTTGGTGGGATTATAAATTAGTATAACCACTATGGGGATCAGTATGGAAGTTCCTTAAGACTTGGAACAGAACCACCATTATGACCCAGCTATCACTCTAGTATTTATTCCAAAAAAATTAAAGTTAGCATACTATAGTGATATATGCATACCCATGTTTATAGTAGCACAATTCACAATAGCCAAGTTATGAAATCAACATAGATATCTCTCAACAGATGAATAAATATGGTATATATACACAATGGTGTTTTCCCCAGCCATAAAGAAGAAGGAAATGATGTTATGATGGATAGAACTAGAGAACATCATGTTAAGTGAGATAAGCCAGACTCAGAAAGTCAAGGGTCATGCATTTTCTCTCAAATGCAGAATCTTCAGAGAAAAAAGGAAAGAAAAGGGACCTCTGAAAATGGAAGAGAGACCAGTAGAATAGAGAAAAGAGAATTAGGAGGAGAGGGAAAGGGGAAGTTCAAGAGAATGAAATAGACCAATTTATGTCTGTGCCTGTACAAATATATAACAATAAATCCTAATGTAATCTATGATTATAATGGACCAATTAAAATTTTTAAAAAATTATTAGGTCAGTATATTTCATGTTGTGTAAATTCATCATTTTTTAAATAAGAGAAAGAGAGAACATGTAGAAAACAGTATTTATCCGTGAAATGACTTGTTGTTTCCCCTAGAAAAGTCATACTTCCTATCATCATACAGAAACCAAAAACAGTGTATGCTATACTACTTCAACAGTGAAAATAAAAGAAATGCTCTTCTGTGATCTCTCACTTTCCACTAAGTATACTGAGGCCAATCCTCTGTGGATCAGAGATGACATAGCTGGTACCCATAGTGTACCTACTCCAACCCACAGTGGTCAGAACTAATAACATCGCAGTCCCCTTTCCCCCACAGGAAACCCTGAGTAACTCTGAACAGGACCTTCCAAGCACCCACCAGGGCTGACACATGGATGAGAAGAAAGAATGAGAGTTCTGATGCACAAGAGGTACTTGACCCAATGCTGATGGCTCTGAATATGCAGTCAGAGGGCCATAAGCCAAGTGCAGATGCCTCACAGGGAAATTAGGTGCTTCCCTCAGTGCATAGTCAGCAAGAAAGTAGATATCTCCATTCCACAACTGCAAGAAACCCAAATTCTGCCAACAACCCAAATAAGCAAAAAATAGTGTCTTCCCCTGGCCTCCAATAAGAAAGGTAGCCCTGCTGACCCCTTGATTTTTGGCAGTGAGACTTATCAGACTTCCAACTCAAAAAAAATGTAACATAAGATAATAAATGCAAGGTTTTTAAGACCAAAAAATTAACTGTATGCTGTGTGAATTTCACCTATTTTAAAAAATAGAGAACTATATTTCTAGCAATGTGCTTTGGAATAAGATACTAAAGAGTAGCTTAACAACACAAAATGCAATCACATTTTATTGTGCCCTACAAACTCTCAAGTGTCTTGTATTTTTAGTAGAGTCCATGGCACAACTGAATTACATAGTTAATTATAATTAGTAGACCATTAATTCAGAATTTTGCAGCCTACCTTAGAGAATCTGATTGCATGAGCGTGCTGAGCAGTCTCTAACTGAGACTTGGTAAGCTGCAGCTGCTCCTTCAACATGTCCACCTCCTTCTGGAGCTTGTCCGTCTGAGCCTTTGTTTTATACTCTGTTGCAATGGAAAATCTTGTTAAAACACCATCTCTTATGAAACTCATCTGAAAACTTACAAGGCACAGTTCTACAGATTCAGCAAAGGACACTGCTCTTACTTGGGATATTATTACTTGTTGCATGCTGTGAGCTCAGTTTTGCTCCTTAGTGTTTATTTGGAGCCCTTCATATGTTTGGACAAAGAGTTACTTTTAGCAGAGTCTTTCAGCCACCATACTGAGGCTGGATTATCCTACAGAGACAGTATGAGAGCCCTGTTCATGGAGCAATAAAGCTGACAAGGAATAATCCTAGTCACTTTGACCCAATGGCACTCTGGGCTCTTCTTTAAGATGCCTGTCTCAATCAGAGAAGGAAAACAAGGGCTTTCCCTGCAAGTGCCACCATGCTGAAATCACTAAGGCCACCATCCTTCTGGCTCCCACCGAACTCTCCTGAAGACCCATCAGTGCTAATACAAGCAGAGGGCTGGCATTCAGAATGCAAACTCAGGCAGTACCCTGTCACTAGGGCAGAAGCGAGAAACTGAAAAGTAGTAAAAAGAAGCAACAAGTGAAGGGAAGAATACTTATGTACATGTACTTACATGAAGATGTACACATGACTGAATGGATATACATGTGTCTGTGAGTGTAGACATGAAAGGTATGGAAACCAAAGTAGAAAGTCAGAATCTCAAAGATGACCTGAAGAGATAATACTCATTTCAGAGGCTGAAATACTCTCTGAAACGAGTATGAGATAGAGTAAGATACTGAAACAGAAAAGAAAGAAGGTCAGTTTCACACTGAAGAATGGTAGGTTAATTAAAATATTTCATCTTTCCCATTTTTTCAATATACTGCTATATTCTAGCAGTGGTCTGTGACTTATAAATGGAATTTTATTTTGTTTCTGCAAAGCTTAGCAATTCCTTAAACAAATCTATTTACCGTGATGGGCAGGAACAGAAACAGACTGGCCCAAAACGAAGGAGTAACATATCTAGATACTAAAAACACTTAAGATTGTAGTAAGAATTCCTGTGGGTTACTGTAGCAGAATGCTTTGGTCTGCTCATGGAGAAAGAGATCCTACATTTTTTGCTTTTGAGAACACTGAAATAGAAGAAAACTTGGTCCCTTGGTAAGCCACAGAATCCCCTCCTCTCTCTTGCATCTTCATCTCCCAGCACCCAAACACATTACCTCTCACACCAAATGAAACAAAATCGTCACATTGCTCCCATATTTTGGTCCAGATTATGCCTCATGTCTCCCTCCCAGCAAATGTTATTGACATCAACGCCTGTGTTCAGTAGGACCACTTCGTGATTCTCAGCTCAGCTCACCGAAATTGGGCTTTTGTTTCCACCAGTTCAAGGTACCAAGAACTATCTTGACAACAACGGTCAATTTCCATCTGTATCTTACTCTGTGCCTCAAAAACTATTGATACACCTGACCATTGCCTCCTTTATGAAATACTTTTTCCTTCGGTTTCCATAATGCCCAAAGATGTTATTTCTCACACTCCACCTGCCCTTCCTACTGGTGGGCTGGCTTGGGTCTTTTGATCTCTATCTAGGTGACATGAGCCAGCCACGCTTTCCTTCAGTGAATCCCAGAGTCCTACCTCCAGTCTGGGTCTTTCTCTTTCTGGACACACAGATCTTCAGAACACCATCTGCATGTCTACTGCCTGTGTGATGGAAACATACCCATGGCCAACACAAACTTTCTAGTCTCTTCCTCTGCACTCAAACCACTTCCTACCTCCAGCACTCCATCACAGTAAACATCACCGCCGCTTACTCAAACACGAGGACAAAAAACCAGGATCATCTTTGCGTCTTCTCTTGCTCTCATGCTGAGTCACATCTCTATAGATTCTGTGTCTAAACATTTCCTTTATATTTTTATCTCTTTCTCTGCCCTGTGACACCTGGTTCAGGCTATCATCTTCTCTCACCTGGGCAGCTGTGCACTCCTCCTTTCTGCCCCACTGTTGCTCCTACAAACTATCTTCTACCCATAGATAGAAGAGTGCTTTAAGGTACAAATGAGATCACGATCCTTCTCTACTTAAAATCCTCCAGTGGCTTCCCACTACACTTCTAAAGACATCCATATTCCAGACAAGGCCTTGCCAGCCTCCTGAGGTCTGGCCTCTGCCCCTCTGGGTTCGCCACATGCTGCTACCTTACTTACTCCTCCAGCCTCCTTTCTGTCCCTCAAACATGCTGTCTTGCCTGCCCTACTGCCCCTTACAATCAGTGTTTCCTACACCTGGGATACTCTTCTCTGATTCTCACCAGGCTGGAACCTCTTCATCATTCTGATCCCTGATAGATATGGCCTCCTCAGCAAGGCCTTTGCTGACCACCTGGCCACCCTCTCTCCCATGTGCCTGTTTTATTACCCTCTTCTCACTTGTCATCACTTGAAAAATTCCCTCTTTTATTTGTTTGATTCTTAGCCCCTCCTTTAGAACATAGCCTCAAGAGATCAGGACTCCTCTGTTGGGCTTCTGGTCATATTCTTAGCACCTAGAATACTGCACGCACATGGCAGGGGCTCAATATTTACTTACTGAATCAACGAAGATGATGAATCTTTCTTTTAAAAGGATCAAGAAACACACTGGACCGTGTCTCACTGAGGGAAAAAAAGGGAGGAAGAGCAGAAAGAAAACAGCTGTGAGACAGCACTCACTCCTTACCAAGGTGAGAATCATCAGGGTGGCGGCGTTGAATGTGGCTTTGTAGATAAGCTTGGTTCATAAAGGCCTTTTCACAGAAATGGCACTGAAAAGGAGAAAGCACAAATCCATGTGTCAGAATCCATATTGAACTGAATCCATACCTAATTGCAAATTCAGACCCAAAGCACTACCCCTTGGGGGTTTTCTCCCCAAAACACACCATCCTAGCAAGTACACTAAAAGCGTGATTAAAAAGACAAACGTAAACCTACTGCATCCTTCCCAAACTCAACTAGTGACGACTACCTCTTGACAGATAAAATAGTTCTTCTGGAGCTTTCTGGAACTCCGGACACAGTTCCCATTAGCATGGTGGTTTCTACCCTGTCACTCCTAAATTGTTCATTACACGCCAGCCATGTGGCTTCTTTCTGTCCCTCTAGCATGCCAACCTCAGAGCCTTGGAACCTTCTTGACACTCAAGACATCATTCATTGAGCATCCTCTCGCCTGGGGGCAATCATACCCTGAACAAGGCCTTCCCTGAAGAACCTCCTGCCAATCTCTGTCACGTTACACTGTCTTGTTTTCACAACTGTACATCTCACCAGATAATATTTTCACATTTATTTCATTATTGCTTGTTTCCTTTTCAGTCCCTCTAGGTTCTTAAAAAGTAGCTTCCCAGACTGTCTTTCCTATTCATGGCTTCATCCTCTGAGTACAGCATTAACATATAATTGAACAATGTTTAGAAATGTTTGATCTAAAAAATGAATTTTTCTAAGGGGGAAAAAGTCAATTCTACCAAAAATTTCTATTCTTCTACTTTTACACTGATTTGAATTTTAGGCAAAAATTCAGCTTGTTTCATTTATATTTCCATTCCTGGATCACTCTGAAGTGAATTATGAAATTCATAAATTTCACTTGCGAATATTTCAGAATATGTCTTTAAAAGATGTGGGCTTTCTTTTAATCATAATACCATAATTCTAATATCATAATAGAAATCATAATATCATTACTCTGCCTTTCAACATGTGAAAATGAAGGACTTAATAAATATCCAACATTATTTTATCTTTCCCCTAAATTTCACATTTTGTCCAAGAAAAAAATTTTGGTTGTTTTGAAATAGGATACAAATAAGGTCCATCTCCTGCAATTGTTGTTATGGTTCTTGAATGTCTTCTAGTCTATAGGCTCCCCTCTCTCTCTCTCCTTTTTTCATTGCTAACCTTTTGCTAAAGCAATCAAACACTGGTCCTGCGGATTCTCTCCCTCTGGACTTAGCTGTTTTCCTCCCTGTTGGGTCATGTAACATGTTCTTCTATTTGCTAGGCCACCTTACTCTTAATTAGTCTAGTTATATCAGACTTCAGATTTTGGCTTAAAACACAAGCATTCTGGCATATATCTCAGCATTGTTGAGAACTTTAAAGCATCTTTTTAAACTTCTCTGTTCATGTTAAGTGCTCTGGTTCACCCACAGGACTCGAGGGACTGCCACATTGACTCTGATGTAAATACTGGCTCTAGGCCTGTGCACTGCACTAGAAAAAGGGAAAGAGGTGGAAGCCATGCCTCTCCCACTCTCCCAGCCCAACCCAGCATGCAAGCCAAAAGGTGTCCTAACAGTACAGCAGTCTTTCCAACCCCCCAGTTCCCTTAGGCAACAGAAAACCAGGACATGGAATATTCCATCTTTAAGCTGTAATGCTGCTCCATTTGCAAACACAGAAGATTTCAGAAGGATTGCCAAACATAGATAAGATGAAAAAAATGGGGTAGTAATATTGGGGAGGAGACTAACACACCACCCAATCAAAAGGAGTGGGGGTGAAGGAGAAGAATGGAGGTATGGGGAGGGAAGTGGGATAGGAAAGAGAATCAAGAAAAAACATGGAATGCATGGATTACTGGTGGGGGAGGGCTATAAATCCCAGGAGCAACAAAGATATTCTTCACAATTTCTTCATTCCCTTCACAGAACACAAAACACAAGGGAAGCATGCATACTATAAAAATAAGATATTTGATAAAATAGAATAAGTTGAAAAAAGAAAGATAAAAACATACAAAAAGCAAAATCAGAACTAAGACATCATCATAGAATAAATTTTTTTTAAAAAAGCAATAGGACATTTTTTTTAAAGAGAAGAGTGAGAGGGAGAGAGAGAGAGAGAGAATTTTTAATATTTTATTTTTTTAGTTATCGGCGGACACAACATCTCTGTTTGTATGTGGTGCTGAGGATCGAACCCGGGCCGCACGCATGCCAGGTGAGTGCACTACTGCTCGAGCCACATCCCCAGCCCAGGACATTGTTGAAATGGAGTCACTAACTGAAGGAAATGCTGAGTTCAATAAATCAGTAATCATGGCGAATGCAGATCAAAGGACAGAGACTAAACTAATCAGTCAGAAGCTAACTTCTGACAAAAGAACTGACAAAGCCAATTCAACACTGATAATTGATCTTCCAGAAATAGAGGACCCATAAATGAAACAAAATTCAAAGACTGAATACAAGAGAATTTCCCTGAAATAAAATAAAGGCTGTAATTTGCAGACAGATCCTCAGTACCAAGACATACCTTACTACACTACTAGGCTTTGACAGAAAGAAGGAATTACTTAGGTAGAAAAAGCAAATCAGCCCCAAGAAGGAAAAGCGGAGGCCCATTCATTTTCTCACAGCTACGTCTACTGCCAGGAGACAAAAGAACCATATGTACAAAGTTCAGAGGGAAAGTGTGACCTAAGAATATTCACCCAATCAATACATCTTTCAAATTTGGAAGAATTGAGAGAATTCAGCATTCATAGGCTCTATTGGTAAGAATCATTTGGACAATCCAATCCACAAAGAAAGGGATCAAACTAAAGAACTCAAGAATGGAGATGTTGAGGTATGGGTAAGAGCATAAATACTCTTAAAAAAAAAAACAGTAAGAAAGTACAGTTGAGTGAGAAAATGGTAATGTTACAACTTGGAAAGTCTGACTCAAAACCAGGAAAGAGGCACCAACCTCCTGTGTGACTATTTGGAGATGTACCATTTAAGGAAATGATTAAGGTTAAATAAGGACATAGGGTGGGTAGAGCCTTGGTGTGATAGGACTGGTGTCCTTCCAAGAGGAAGGGACAGCAGGGGTCTCCATCTCCACACACAGAGAAAAGGCTGTGTGAGCCCACAATGAGAAGGAGACCATATACAAACCAGGAAGAGAGGTATTACCAGAAATGAACCCCACTAACACCTTGATTGGATCTTGGGCATCCAGCCTCCCAAAATTCATGAAAATACATTTTTGTTGTTTAAGTCACCAAATCTCAGGTAATTTTTAAAAATATTATTTGTTAGTTATAGATGGACATAATACCTTTTTTTAAAAAAATTAAGTTATTTCTATGTGGTGCTGAGGATCAAATCCAGTGCCTCACATGTGCTAGGCAAGTGCTCTACAACTGAGTGACACCCCCAGCCCTATGTAGTATTTTGTTATGGAAGACCTAGCAGATTAATTCAGGTGTGATATCATTTATATATGATATCATTTATATAAAGTTTTCAAGCTTAAAAGCATTCTCTTGTGAATATATTATGTTCACAAAAATATTTTGAATTAAAAAACATAAAGGAGAAAAGATTCAGACAAGCAGAGATTTCCTCTGGGAATGCATGTAGGGAAAATTATTTATTTCTAAAATCTCAAACAAAACCTTACCCATTCCCAAAAAGAGTGGATGGAAATATAGCAAAATACCAGCATGAGTTAAATATAAAGGTAGATATGGTGCCTGTTATATGAGTCTATGGCAGTTTTTTGTCTTTTTATAATCCCATTATTAGTTTTTTTTTAATTTTTTTTTTAGTTGTAGTTGGACACAATACCTTTATTTATTTTTATGTGGTGCTGAGGATAGAACCCAGCACCTTGCACATGCAGCGAGCTCTCTACCCCTGAGCCCAAGCCCCAGCCCCATTATTAGTTTTTATTTAAAAAAGAATGTTTTGTTTTGTTTTTTAAACTCTCTACATTTGGGTATTCACTGTAGAGTTGTTTCAGTTTTTCTGAATGTTTAAATTTGTTTTTTTTTTTAAATAAAATGTTGAGGAAAAAAGACCCTACACATTGCTACTATTAACACCCTTACACCTTTAAGCCACATACAACATACACACCCAGAAAAATAAAACCTTCAAAAAGTAGTAGGCATCCTTTATTTTTTCCAATCTTTACTACCCGATTCTCGTGATTTCTTGAAGCAAAGGGAAATGGAGACAAAGAGGAGCCATATGAGAACGAGATCACAACTTCTGTGAAATTGATACCATAGTTTGCCTCATGCTTTTTTCAGGCCAGAGTTCAGGCTTTGGATTTTCTGCCCAAGGGGAGGGAAAAAAAGAAAACTGGCCGTTGTGATTTCTCACATATTATAAAAACTCAATTCTGGCCATGTGTTTTGCACGACGACATTTTTTTTTTCTCAACAACCCCAGGTTTTAACTAAAACCTATATGCCAGGCCCTGTGTCACCCAATCCTCATGAGGTTCGACAGCTGTTTCCATTCCCCAGACTAGAAACTGAGGCGCAAAGAAGTTAAGCAACTTGTCAAGGTCCAGTACTTGCAAGCAGAGATGGATCTGAACCCACTTAGACCCCAGAGAGCGTCCTAACCATCGTCTGTGAAGGCAGGAGCCCATTCCGGGATTCCGGGTAGCCTGACCCGGAAGAGCAACAGCACACTTCCGGGTTCACGTCAGAGCGGTTCACGAGCCAGGCTACGTGAAACAGGCCACACGATGGAATCCGTCCACCAGTAAAACACTGTTCACACCCTCTCTTTCATCTTTGTAATGGCTGATGGACGCCAAACTTATGGAATATTTTACAGTCTAAAAGTAAGTACTTGGGCCTTCAACAAATCTGTCTGGGGTTTGGGATGTACAGTGATGCAGTGTTTGCCTAGCACATCCATGGTCCTGTAACGATCCCCAGGACCTAAAAAAAAAAAAAAAAAGCTCAATATATCTGCACCTACGGTTCTTCGTAGGGCCAGGGGATGCAGAGTCCGTGCATGGTCAGACCCAT